GATGTGTCCCATTATCATTCATATCATATCACATCATAATGTATCATATATTTCCTTATCTGAGTCAGCTTCTTGAGCCGTATCTGGCCGTGCAACACTCACAGTGTCACATACTGTATGCAGAAGTAATATTTTAAGCAACACATTAAGTTGACGAAACACTTGAGTCAAATGTAATTAAAGTCAGATCCACTCGTGTCTTAACGGGGCAGTGTCGTGATATCATAAACCTGTTGATGTACGCATTCAAACACTTTTTCTTTTACCAGCTGTATTCACCTTGCAGGTGCAGCTATGTGGATTTTATCCTGGATAAAGTGTTTAAAGGTGGGGTAGATAAGTTTGAGAAACCGGCTCGAGATACACTTTTTGTTATATTCCATGGAATGCTCTTAACATCCCGATAGCAATGAATATCTTAAGTGCTTTGACAAAAAATCCATAAAAAAATGTCATCTGTGGAAGCCGTAATACTGTAAAAAGTACGACCAATCATTTTAGCCGGCCCGGCTAAAATAACTGGATGGCCTACCTGCCTGTCAGCCTTCCATCTGTGCACAAACTTATCTCGTGCCCTCATTGGTCATGTGCGCGTTCGTGTGTGTTGGAGGAGGGGCTCTATAAGGAAGTGGCAGATTTTCTCCGGTTGTGTATTTTCAAATTCTAGCGATCTCGAGCCGGTTTCTCAAACTTACCTACCCCACCTTTAAGTCATGGATGTTTAAAGTTTAACTTCTTCATATGTCTAATATTATAGTTGACTTTTCATTCAGGAAGTATGACGCTGCGCTGTCAGTACGCGGCTTGTCCATGTTTGTGATTGGTCGATCGCTCCAAATACCACCCCTTTCATGTGAACGCGCACCTAACTAGATAGGGCACGGCTGGCTTGAGCGATCCACTTGATAACCAGCATCGTAGGACCGCTTAGCGAGAGCGCGTATGTTTTGGATTAGGCCAACCGGCTAACTCAAACATATCCAGGTTAGGTTGAACCGGCTTCGTAGTACAGGCCTCTATACTGTGTAGAGCACGTGTTTAAAAAGCAGGAAATAAAAAAAGAACTCACCTTGTGATAAACCTGCAAGAGAAAAAGCATTTGAGCTCCATACTATTTCAGAAATAATCCTTGACGTGGTTTAAACAGGATGGCGTTTTATCACAGCAGAATTTAACTTTATCTCCGGTAGAATTCTGATCAGGCATTAGCTCCGCCTCCTCTTCTTTTTTTTTCAAGCTAAGGACCCAAGATCCGCGTTAACAGGGCTTCAAAAGAGGGGTTTGAGCAGTATGAGGCATGGCTACAATGGGTGAACTGTTTGGTATTTTGAAAAAAAAAACTTCACAGACATGTTTTGTACAGGTATGGCCCTACAATATATGTTTCAAATATAGCATGATAGGTCCACTTTAAGAATCAAAAATGTTTTCGCGGTCCACATTCAACCATAAACAATACGGAGGCTAAATAAAGTTCTGATTGGTCAATTCAGAACATGTGACACGTTGTTAATCCAGTAGAACAGAGCGCTGTCAAGGACTGTAATGACCGTTGCTAAGGAGGATCAAGAAAGAGAAAGGAAAAGAGGTTCAAATAAAAAATAAATCTTAATAATGAAAATGTTTCCACACAAATCATGTTTTGCAAATTATTTGGCGGAAAATATTGAATTTACATTTACACCCTTTATTTGGGCTTTTAGATGAAGACCGCACACAGTTAAATACAACTATTCTTCTGGCTAAAATACATATTTTTAAAAGTCAATCAAGGAGTAATCTTAATTTAAGGTGTTTGAAGAGTAGTTTAAAAATACAATTTATTTTGGAAAAGATTATTGCCACAAAAAATCAAAGGGTGGCTCAACACGCATGGGAAATAATTAGCTCTAACGAAGAGTGGGATTAAAGGAACAATAAATATGCTTGCTGTTGTGTTTTTGGTGGTTTTTGGTAGTCAAGCTATTTTTGTTTGTGAAATGTTGAAGTGATCCTACTGACTGTATCTTTATTTCTTCTGTTTTTGTCTGAGATGGGAATGTCATCTCCAATATGTTATTGTTATGTCCATGTCTTTAGCCTGTACAAAATAATAATTAAAAATATTAAAAAAATACAATTATTTGGCGGCCCACTTGCAATGCCTTCGCGGACCACTAGGGGGCATCGTGCACTACTAAATGTTTGTATATCTGCAAAACACAGCACAGGAAGCAAAGATGATGACCATCCCATTACTTTTATTGTAGATATACTGGGCTACAATTATATAAAAAAAGAAAAGTCCAAACAAACACAATTAAAGGTCTTTATGATCCATAAGGTGCAGACCGCAAACACTGCAGCACAGTTACAGTATGAGTGAGGAGTCCTGTTCATGTCCCTTACACTGCAGCTCTGACCGCTTAGCCCCCCCTGCTGGTGTGCTGGTGTTCTGCTGCTCCGTGACCCCCCCCCCCCAAACAGACAGGGGATCTATGCTGACATCTCCTCTCCCACACACCCATTGTTGATCAGGCATTTCTGTTCTCTGCTAACACTGATCATGAGCGATCATTAAAGGAAAAATCCACCCAAAACTCTTCTGTTGGAACACATGCTGCTTATCAGGGATCACCTTCCTGTTAGCTGATGCATTTCCTGTCAATACCTGGCCAAATGTATCACATCACATTCAGATACAGCACCTTTAAAAAGTGACCTTTCAGGACTTTTGATTCACAGTGGATGTCATTATGATTAAGAAATATCCTTAAACTAAATTAGGAACAAATCTTTAAACAGATAGTTTCCCTGATTCAGGACGGTCCCACACATCAGAGACATGTGGTGATTGTGTAGGTCTTTTACTGTAGACACAAGGCAGAAAAGCACTTCTTCATATAACCATCTTTGATTTACTATGATTTGTATAAGCTTTCAACAGAAGGGTTTCTTATCATTTTGCACCAGTAAGACGGCATTTCCCTGTCTGATAAGCAGCTAAGGAAAGTGACACCAGCTGGGATAAAGTACAATTAATGGTAAAACTTTGAGGTACTTGTACTTTAGTATTTCCATTGACTGCTAATATGTTACAGCTACTCCTTTTCATTTGAGGGATACAGTGAACTTCCTGTTGCACTACATTTATCAGAGCTGCCCAACAGATGTATGATGTTATGTATTAAATACAATGTACTATATTGTATGTGACTCCTTACAGGAACACAGTGTCAGATTCTGGAGCCTTGTCATGTTTCTGAGATATTTGCACTTAAACATAACAGATTGCAAATTTAGAATTTGAACAATTGGACATTTGTTTCGTTTCGAAAAGTAAAAGCTCCAGTACAAAGGAATTCACAAAGTGGTACATGTGAAGTCACCCTGGCTCAGGATTCATCACAAGTACAGAAGCACATTAGGGTGGATTTTTCCTTTGAGTTCCTGATAAAGGGGAAGGTCAGTCAAACTCACACACCACAGAAGAAGAAACAAGGGAGAATCCAGAAGTGAATTGAACCAAGATCCCATTCATGATTGGACGTGCCAGTCCGACTCACCGAACAGCTGTTTGAGGCAGGATACAGGAAGTATACACGTTTAGAGATTCTTCTAACAGTGTGTTTGTCACATGATGCCCCGCAGCACATTTGGAGCCCCCCCCCCAGCCCCTTGCCGTCTCTTTCAATAGCTCTGAGCTAAACCAGCATCCACACAGCAGCCAAGCCTGAACCGGTTAGTCCTCCCAACATCATATACATGTATACACGTCTTCGCCTTCCTCTACCTTTCACTCCCTTTCACTCTGACATGAGGTAAAGTATGACTCCGAAGTGCAATGCTCAATTGTGCTACATATACAAAAAAAAGAAAATTGCCATTACGAGAAAACGTAGTCCGTTCTGACTATCGCACTGCTCCCTCCTGAATAGAAACATGCTGCTGGATATTGGTGCCAAGATGAATTATGATCCTAGTTTCCATCAGTCACAGACATAAAATAGAGCGGCTGTGGCACCAGATGAGTGATTTCACATTATTTGTAGTACCCCCCCCCCCATCTGGGACCTACACAATAGTTAGTTGAACCCATGTAGAACTGTACCAATCTGACTTTAGCTCTTTATACATGGCTAGCCCTGAGAGATAATGACAGACTGCACTCTTTAACTCGAGATGTAGTAACGCTTCCTAGGGTCACATGATTTAAATATAGCAACTGAAGGATTTCACCAGAGAATCTCTAGGTCTTCAATATCTGGTTAAAAATCTTTTTTTTATATACTTTCACATTTTGTTCGGCAGGATGATCTCCACACATGAACACCAGTTTATGATTTTTGAAACATTAATGAAATAGCCAGAATTAAAAGCCATCATTAGCTTATAAAGCTAAGATGATATAAAAAGCTAACGTTAGCTTGTAAGCTAACTACATCTCAGTCACATGGCTGCGTCTCCACCGCTAAGCTAGATGCGGCTAATGTTCATTGTGATGGCGTTTAGTAGTCTCATTTAGAGAATGGTTAGCAACCACAGTTTCTATGACTCACGGAAGCGTCAGACATTCACCTGGTGTATTTACGGACATAAAATGTCGTAAAACAATACCTGTAAAACTATTTCGCTTGTGTTAACCGAAGACCTTATTTCAGACATCTAACCAAAACACGCTCACATTTTTTTTGAGACAAGCTATAAGGAAGTGCTTAAATTCCGTTTTAGGACTCATTCCCGCACCACTCTTTTACTCAGTTAAGCAACCACACAGGCACGTGTCTCTTCGAACCCTTTTTTATGGACAAATAAGTTTACCCTCTGCCTATATATATATATAAATACAAATGTTTAAGAGTGCAATCAGATTACCTCTACAGGTTTTTACCCATTTGTCAATCCTCTGTTTGTTTTTACCCAGAATTCAAATGCAGATTTTCAGCCGATTCAATTAAAAGCTAGTGAAGGAGGGGAAAGCTAATAATCCACTCCAATCCACCTGGAGTTTGGGGGGGGGGGGGGGGGGGGGGGGGGGGGTGGCCAACGGGACAACCAAATCAAACAGATTTCCAAAATAATGAAAAGGTCAAATAAAGAGGTATTATAGTTACAGTGCAAAAAAAGATGAGAAATTCAAGCTTAATACAAAAACATAGCACCAAACAAAAAAAAAAGGAAAAATATATAAAGACAAGAAAATGCATGCAATTAACTGAGGTATTCAAGTGAAAAAGGGCTTATTGATGAGGGGGAACAGGACATTTAGCGAGAAGCAAAATGTGTCAGAACAGAAAACACAAAAAAAGAAAAAGGCTGGTGTCTTCTCCGCAGGAATCGCCTTTAACCTCATAGTGTCACATCTGTTAGAGCTTTGGTAGGTACGGGATGTGAGCAACACGTGTGTGTTGAAATGAGTTGGCCTTTTTCACAAAGACTGTATTTGAAAAGATTTTGAGCCTACACGAGTATCCAATATAGAAAAGTCTGCAGCATATTGAACGTGTGATACGTCTTTCTCTTCGTATATCAAAACTGGATGATCCTTGGAAAGACGTTAAGTGCGCAAGAATGTTCAATTCCTTCCATTCTTGGTATCAAAACATGTTAAACCAAATCATCAAGGTAATGCCGTTACATCGAGTGTTGCGCTCACACACTCTAGGTACATCCGTAGATCTAGAACATTTATAGAAGCAATCCAGTTGTCATGGTTTATACATAAACTACAAGAACATGCAACCTCAAGTGCGCTTTATAAACTACTTTAAATTACAGTAACTGGGAATGTTGGAATTCCTATCCGTCTTGCAGGATATGAGGGTGAATCTTAGCAACTAAGGCTAAGAATACCAATCATGTATCTTATTATTTTTATATATATTTATAGACTTTGCTACGTATATGATTCTGGTGTCAATGTGACCACACGATTCTTGAAGTAACAGACCCTAATGGAATAAGTGCAAAAATGATTAAGAATACCATTTCAAGACAGATTTCAGACAGAAGTGCCACCAGCGTTTTGCTCCAGTGGTTTCTGTTAGCCATGTCCGCCGCTGTCAAACTGACTGGCACTAGTGCACAGGCTGAGGAGTTTAGCGTTTTTTCTTCTTCCTACATACTTTGATTTACACCTTTGATTGAACTATGTACAATCTAATACTACACAATAAGCATAAGCGCCATACCATCGGCATAGAGGTTAACCAAACACTAAACTGTGAGGAACAGACGATGCAACCTGACCTTCTTTTAAACACACTGCTAAACGTTAATAAAGCACTGAGAGAGGGAAAGCAAAGATTGTGTAGGCGCAAAAAAAAAAAAAAAAAAAAAAGAAAAAAAAAAGATCTGATGAAATGTTAATGAGATCAGTCTGCTTCTTCATCTGCGTCTCCACAGTGTTCCCCGGCTGCCTCGGCTGAAGATGCAGGGCTTGCATGGCGCTCTGTTGGAAGCCGGTGTTGATTTTCCTCCGTTAGCGTCAGTAGCTTAGGTGCTAATGCTGGGAGCTCGGAGGGTGAGCTCAGTTTTTCTGGACCTGAGGTTGATTGGCTTTGAGGCTGCGCAGAGCTCGTCTCGCCGCCGCAGACTTGGCGATGCGGTAGCTGCGGCCCACTCCTTTGAACTTGCCCTTCCCCACGACCTCCACGGTCACCCGCACCTTCCCGTCGTACGTCCTCTCCGCAGGGCTGCACAGAGCAAGAGGGGGGTCAGAACCTGGCTAATGGTGGCCTAAATCTCACACAGCCGGGTACTAAAGATACTACTCTCATTCTTATTCCTCTGTTCCCTGAATGATGCATACTCAGTGTAAGATGTATTTCCATAGCACTTCCTCCATCAATAGTTGAACCTTTATCCATGTCTAATCACCCCTTTTTCTCAGCTTTTTATTTGCAGGGAAATGCTGAGTTTTATCAACGATATCTTAACAATGATTTATACCAATTTCAGTGTTAATCCATGATTCTGGGTACCAAATTGGAGAACATGGTTAAAAAAGATATACACCATTAAATCCCATGTCGTTCATCTTTAAATGGATTTCTGACCAATTTTAACTAGTTCTCTTCTAGGCAAATCATTTTACATTTGGCAGAAAATCTGGTATCATCCCAAAGATTACTGCATTTTTTTACGCCATGGGGAATGCTCATCAGACAGTCCCAATAGGCAAAATAGCTGATAGTAGTAAATTCTGATTTACAACTTGACACGCAGTGCTAAAACGCATCATCACCATTTGTATTTAGCTAACTGTTGACTTGTTATCTACGCCTTAACATCCCTGTCCCACACCTGACACCTTTAAAAAGAAGGGGGGGGGCTGTTAAAGGTTAATGTGGAGATGATTATTTATATACAATTAAAAATTCCACACGTTCGTTGTACTTTAAGAAAACTGTTTTCTACTTGAAGTTTTACTTCAAATGTATATTTATTTATTATATATAAATATAACAGGTGACAGCTTTTCTGGATACATTTCATAAAATAGGCTATAAAATGAATAATATAACATGACTTCTTGCTCAAATGGAATGAACTCAGTTATGATTAAGCTGTCCTTTCATCTGTGCATTGCTGCAATGATTATTATGAAGTTAGAAAAGAGAACATCTTCATATTCCTGTGATAAATGTTTTACTCTCACCTGAACTTGGCAGTTTCTGGCTCCATCTCCAGCAGCTCCCTCACAGGAGAGCGTGGCACGTTGGCAGAGAATTTCTCTGGAAGAGGCGGGGGATGGAGAGCGAGGCATCAGAATCATCCTCACACTGATAACTACAATTAGCTTCAAATAGAAACAAGACGCTTCCACTCCTCCTCACCTATGAGTGGCCTCATCATTGGATAATACACCTCCCACACGGTCTCCAGAGACATCCTGCTGTCCATGTAGATGGCTCCGGCCAGCGACTCAAAGATGTCCCCCATGGCCTTCGGGACCTCAATGTCCTCCTCCTTCTCCTCGTCCTCTTCTGAGCGCCGCAGCTGAAAACACACGCAGTCGTTAGCTGACCAGATCATAACACACACACAAAATGTATCAGTAGAGCTCGCTAACAAACTAGGACTGCACAATTGGGACAAATTCACTAATTTAGATTTTCTTGACTGATTGCAATATGATGCAGATATTTACCAAACAAAGATGTTTTATTAAGTCTGTAACTGACTATGACTTCTCGTCAGCACCACAATAAAATACAAATAATGATATTTTCACTTAGTTTTTAACAAATATTGGGCCTACTGTGATATGGGATAGCCCATATAGCTGTATTTACCATGGCCTATCTAATTAGAAGCAAATCATTTTTAAATAGACATAATCAATGAATTGGCTAATTAAATACATTCATTTCTCATATACATACAGTGTCAAATGTGGTACATTAGCTAGCTAGCAAGTTAGCTAATGGGGAATGCTACTTGAAATGTGGAGCCAACAACAGGCTGTTGCAAACTTAAGGATCAACAAGGATGCTCAATCAAGCGTCACACATACGGTAATGGCTGGCTCAAAAAAAACTAGCAGAAGAAGGTAAATATAACTATGTAATAAATGTATGTGTATTTTCAATACCAAATAAGTTAACAATCAAAAAGTGTTGAAATTGTGCAAAGATTCCGAAACTCCCAAACGTATCTTGATTTGGAAATGATCAAACAACCCTTAACGTGTTATGAAATATTGTGTTGACTTCCGTTCATATATTTCAGCTGTTCTTGAAAAAGCATGAAATAAGAACCTGTAGAGAATGATCTGCAGTGGGACACTACAGTACATGGAAGAGTTTAAAGCAGGCTAGTGAGTGCAGCACATTCTTCCTGCTGTACTTCCTGTATGTTTGTGTAATATGTGCCTGCTGTCCCTAAGGCATAAAGTCCCTCAGCAGAAGAACGAGAGGAGATAGCCATTTCCAGACAAATTCAATCCAACTGCATTTTCTCTTTAGTGCTGAAATCATGGGAATATGAAACAGCCTTGTTATTCAGGAGGATCTTTTTGAATACTGACACTTATTTAAATGTGAAAACACTACAGCATCAATTACACATGAAAGAGTAGGCTTAACACTTGATGTTTTGCTAAAGCTTATAGTTAGGGCTGGTTCAAGGTTTAGTTATGCAGCGGGAGGCTTAGGCTGTTTGGTGACTTAACACACTGTAAAGCCCCATGAAACTAAAGTGATATTGTGCTATATGAACATACTTTGATTGACTGATAGGTTTTATTGTTCAGTACTGCTGCTCGTTGTGTTTCGGTCTACTCACCTCAGAGTCCATGCCTTGCATCTCGTTCTTCTCCAGCTGGAACTGCACGAAGTCGTCGATGACGTGGAAAAGCTCGGGCGAGATGGCCTTGAAGTACTTGTGGTAGTCGTACTTGACGGCCAGAGAGGCAAAGATGGTGTTGTTGACGAGTGCTGAACGCAGGTCGGTCAGCACGCCCGGGGAGTGCTGCCGGGGGTCTTCATAAAGGTGCTTTGTAATGAGGTAGTCTAAAATTGCATCGCCGAGGAACTCCAGTCGCTGGTAACAATCTGAAGAGGAAGAATAGACGTCAGACATGAGAATGTTAGTGTTTTCATTTCTCTAAAAGAGATGCTTATGATTGTAAGAGGTTGTTTCCATCTCTATAGAACACGGTCAATTCAGCCTAAGCAAATAACCCAGTCAATTAAATGTTTCTTTTATGTTCATGAGTTTTCACCATGAACATTCCTGGAATTTTGGAACCCTAGGTTTGTTGACCATTTCCAGTAATCCAACGTTTTTTCATTTAGTTCGGTTCCACCGGTCTGTTTAGTCTGTGTAAATGCAATATGTATTTGAACTAGCTTGGACTTTAACTTGGAAATGTCCAATGAAAAAACTATTTTGAATGTTAGTCATGTTGCATTTAATCTAAATAAACATTCAGATCTCAGTGTCTCAACATCTATTGCAGCACTGTTATTATCATTTATAAATAACTCATATTTTATCAACATATACTTCTAATTCTTGAACATGGTTCTTTCTGACCTGTACTAGTAACACTACAGTGAACATGGTTCTGACCTGTACTAGTAACACTACAGTAAACATGGTTCTGACCTGTACTAGTAACACTACAGTGAACATGGTTCTGACCTGTACTAGTAACACTACAGTGAACATGGTTCTGACCTGTACTAGTAACACTACAGTGAACATGGTTCTGACCTGTACTGGTAACACTACAGTAAACATGGTTCTGACCTGTACTAGTAACACTACAGTGAACATGGTTCTGACCTGTACTAGTAACACTACAGTGAACATGGTTCTGACCTGTACTAGTAACACTACAGTGAACATGGTTCTGACCTGTACTAGTAACACTACAGTGAACATGGTTCTGACCTGTACTAGTAACACTACAGTGAACATGGTTCTGACCTGTACTAGTAACACTACAGTGAACATGGTTTCTGACCTGTACTAGGTAACACTACAGTGAACATGGTTCTGACCTGTACTGGTAACACTACAGTAAACATGGTTCGTGACCTGTACTAGTAAACACTACAGTGAACATGGTTCTGACCTGTACTGGTAACACTACAGTGAACATGGTTCTGACCTGTACTGGTAACACTACAGTGACATGTGATTCTGACCTGTACTGGTAACACTACAGTGAACATGGTTCTGACCTGTACTGGTAACACTACAGTGAACATGGTTCTGACCTGTACTAGTAACACTACAGTGAACATGGTTCTGACCTGTACTGTAACACTACAGTGAACATGGTTCTTTCATGGACCTGTACTAGTAACACTACAGTGAACATGGTTCTGACCTGTACTAGGTAACACTACAGTGAACATGGTTCTTTCTGACCTGTACTGGTAACACTACAGTGAACATGGTTCTTGACCTGTACTGGTAACACTACAGTGAACATGTTCTGACCTGTACTGGTAACACTACAGTGAACATGGTTCTGACCTGTACTGGTAACACTACAGTGAACATGGTTCTGACCTGTACTGGTAACACTACAGTGAACATGGTTCTGACCTGTACTGGAACACTACAGTGAACATGGTCTGACCTGTACTGGTAACACTACAGTGAACATGGTTCTGACCTGTACTGGTAACACTACAGTGAACATGTCTGACCTGTACTGGTAACACTACAGTGAACATGTCTGACCTGTACTGGTAACACTACAGTGAACATGTCTGACCTGTACTGGTAACACTACAGTGAACATGGTTCTGACCTGTACTGGTACACTACAGTGAACATGTCTGACCTGTACTGGTAACACTACAGTGAACATGGTTCTGACCTGTACTGGTAACACTACAGTGAACATGGTTCTGACCTGTACTGGTAACACTACAGTGAACATGGTTCTGACCTGTACTGGTAACACTACAGTGAACATGTCTGACCTGTACTGGTAAACACTACAGTGAACATGTCTGACCTGTACTGGTAACACTACAGTGAACATGTCTGACCTGTACTGGTAACACTACAGTGAACATGTCTGACCTGTACTGGTAACACTACAGTGAACATGGTTCTGACCTGTACTGGTAACACTACAGTGAACATGGTTCTGACCTGTACTGGTACACTACAGTGAACATGGTTCTGACCTGTACTGGTAACACTACAGTGAACATGGTTCTGACCTGTACTGGTAACACTACAGTGAACATGGTTCTGACCTGTACTGGTAACACTACAGTAAACATGGTTCTGACCTGTACTAGTAACACTACAGTGAACATGGTTCTGACCTGTACTAGTAACACTACAGTGAACATGGTTCTGACCTGTACTAGTAACACTACAGTGAACATGGTTCTGACCTGTACTGGTAACACTACAGTAAACATGGTTCTGACCTGTACTGGTAACACTACAGTGAACATGGTTCTGACCTGTACTAGTAACACTACAGTGAACATGGTTCTGACCTGTACTAGTAACACTACAGTGAACATGGTTCTGACCTGTACTAGTAACACTACAGTGAACATGGTTCTGACCTGTACTAGTAACACTACAGTGAACATGGTTCTGACCTGTACTAGTAACACTACAGTGAACATGGTTCTGACCTGTACTAGTAACACTACAGTGAACATGGTTCTGACCTGTACTGGTAACACTACAGTGAACATGGTTCTGACCTGTACTGGTAACACTACAGTAAACATGGTTCTGACCTGTACTAGTAACACTACAGTGAACATGGTTCTGACCTGTACTGGTAACACTACAGTGAACATGGTTCTGACCTGTACTGGTAACACTACAGTGAACATGGTTCTGACCTGTACTGGTAACACTACAGTGAACATGGTTCTGACCTGTACTGGTAACACTACAGTGAACATGGTTCTGACCTGTACTAGTAACACTACAGTGAACATGGTTCTTTCTGACCTGTACTAGTAACACTACAGTGAACATGGTTCTGACCTGTACTGGTAACACTACAGTGAACATGGTTCTTTCTGACCTGTACTGGTAACACTACAGTGAACATGGTTCTGACCTGTACTGGTAACACTACAGTGAACATGGTTCTGACCTGTACTGGTAACACTACAGTGAACATGGTTCTGACCTGTACTGGTAACACTACAGTGAACATGGTTCTGACCTGTACTGGTAACACTACAGTGAACATGGTTCTGACCTGTACTGGTAACACTACAGTGAACATGGTTCTTTCTGACCTGTACTGGTAACACTACAGTGAACATGGTTCTGACCTGTACTGGTAACACTACAGTGAACATGGTTCTGACCTGTACTGGTAACACTACAGTGAACATGTCTGACCTGTACTGGTAACACTACAGTGAACATGGTTCTGACCTGTACTGGTAACACTACAGTGAACATGTCTGACCTGTACTGGTAACACTACAGTGAACATGGTTCTGACCTGTACTGGTAACACTACAGTGAACATGGTTCTGACCTGTACTGGTAACACTACAGTGAACATGGTTCTGACCTGTACTGGTAACACTACAGTGAACATGGTTCTGACCTGTACTGGTAACACTACAGTGAACATGTCTGACCTGTACTGGTAACACTACAGTGAACATGTCTGACCTGTACTGGTAACACTACAGTGAACATGTCTGACCTGTACTGGTAACACTACAGTGAACATGTCTGACCTGTACTGGTAACACTACAGTGAACATGGTTCTGACCTGTACTGGTAACACTACAGTGAACATGGTTCTGACCTGTACTGGTAACACTACAGTGAACATGGTTCTGACCTGTACTGGTAACACTACAGTGAACATGTCTGACCTGTACTGGTAACACTACAGTGAACATGGTTCTGACCTGTACTGGTAACACTACAGTGAACATGGTTCTGACCTGTACTGGTAACACTACAGTGAACATGTCTGACCTGTACTGGTAACACTGTGATGGTAACACTACAGTGAACATGTCTGACCTGTGATGGTGTTGTAATGGTAGGAAGCGTGAGTGAAGGCCTGCAGCAGGTAGGTCTTGTTCTGAAACGTGTAGTTGATCTTTCTTTCAAAGTTCTCGAAGCCGGAGATGAGGTGGGTGAGAGTTCCTTCTGGGTCAGGATGATGGTCCAGCACGGAGCGGGGGGGGATCTTCAGCCAGCCGTAGTTCAGGTCCAAAGTGTTGGTCTGACCGCTTAGCACCACGGCACCCGTCAGAGCCCCCCTGTCCATCGGTAACACCTGTCAACATCAAAAACAACTGTTAATATCTGCGTTTGGAGGAGCAGCTATCACCTGGGCCAGACATGGGGACGGTGGCAGTGTTAACCATGGCCGGTATTAACCTGACCTTGAGCAGGAACATCTGTTGAAGTCACCAAATGTAAGTCTCTCTGATAATAATGCCAGAAGAAAATAGTTTCCCCTTAGCACAATTACACGTGTATTAAATCAGTCAGAAAAACCCTTTAAATAAATGTGAACAGCCAGGCTGAGGCTAACACGTAGTTTGGTTCGTTTACAGGTAGTTTTATGTATGCCTTAAGCTCAGGGAAATTATTTGTGTTAAGAGGTCTGATTAAGGCTTGCACAATATAGATATAATATTTGTTTGCGTTATGCACAAATCTATTGACAGGACACGTACTATTTGAAATATGTGACCTGAGGCCTGTACTACGAAGCAGGATTTTCGCTTAGCCGGCTAACTTCAGGGAAAACTCAGGGTTTCCGGTCCTACGACGCTGGTTCTCTTTTTAGCAGGCTAGATCTCCATGGTAACTTATGCTGAACGGCTAACCTGCTCCGGAGCAGGTTAGGTTGCAGGCTAAGAGATCAACTCAGTGAAAGCACCGCCTGCTGACCAATCAGAGCTACGTGTGCGGAGTTTAAAGCGATCAAGTCATATTACAGGATAGAGGAAATACAGAAAAACTGCCGTTGCAGGAAAGACAGCCGGCAAAAATCAACTGACTGTGTGAACGTGAAAATGAATAGAATATCCCCTCCCATCTTCAGAGCAATCTGACTATTATAACATTAGCGTTAAGAAAGCTTACTTAAATATCTGCCACAACATAAGTAACCGGATCAGAGTAACATTAAGTACAGTCCGCGGCACTGTGAGTGCAGACGTCGATGTGTCCCATTATCATTCATATCACATCACATCATAATGTATCATATATTTCCTTATCTGAGTCAGCTTCTTGAGCCGTATCTGGCCGTGCAACACTCACAGTGTCACATACTGTATGCAGAAGTATTATTTTAAGCAACACATTAAGTTGACGAAACACTCGAGTCAAATGTAACTAAAGTCAGATCGTGTCTTGGCAGTGATTTCATAAACCTGTTAATGTACGCATTCAAACACTTTTTCTTTTACCAGCTGTATTCACCTTGCAGGTGCAGCTATGTGGCTTTTATCCTGGATAAAGTGTTTAAGTCATGGATGTTTAAAGTTTAACTTCTTCATATTTGACTAATATTAAAGTTGACTTTTCATTCAGGAAGTATGACGCTGCGCTGTCAGTACGCTTGTCCGTGTTTGAGATTGGTCGAATGCTCCAAATACCACCCCTTTCATGTGAACGCGCCAGAGTTCCCGTTAGCCGGTAATTACCGGACAATGACCGGTAAAATATGCTGAAGTCCGGCAAATCTAAATCTCTCCGGTCAAAATGTCCGGTCAAAATAATTTTCCCTTAGCGCAATACCGCATCAGTTGCGCCACTTATGTGACAGACAAGAATAGTATGTGACAGACAAAAGAGTATGTGACAGACAAAAATTGTCAATTCTAATGTCTAACACTTAATGTGGAGAAAGAGATGTCCTGTATGGGTTGATTGTGCGTTGATCTGTTGGTAATGCCTCGGGGTTCCGGTGGGCATGTAAACAAATGCATAATGCTGCGCTATACTTTGTGGCCTCATCCGGTTGCATAGCGACGCTTATTGTTTAGGTGTCTTTTAACAAGCAGGTAGTCATATCATTAGCTAGAACTAGCTAGATCTGATCGATATGGACATAAATGCGAGTAAAGTCTAATCTGACAGGAGAGAGAGATCGGCTGCTGCTGACGAGTCGACACGCAGCTCTGCATGATCCCCTGCAGCGGCGAGCAGAGCAAAACACACTTCAGGTTAGAAAATCACACGTAGCTATTTTAATTACCTCTCAAACTACCTAAACTAGTTATAGATATGTTTAGTTTTACTGTCGGGTCACTCATTACTGGATCCGCGAGCTGCATGATACTGACGGGCTGTCAGGAGAAGGAGAGAGCGCTCCGTTTATTATTCCCGCGTTTTTGTAAATTACTGTACACTTTTGAATAATGTAGTTAATCTACTATAATTAGTTTGTTTAATGTCGAATCATATCAATTTGTTTTAAAGCTCAATAAATAACAAAGAAGACCTTTAACCGGCACTTATCTAATTTTGTCCGGAAGATTTCAACTTTAACGGACATGTTGACCGGCAAAAAAATATTCTAACGGGAACTCTGGAACGCGCACCTAACTAGATAGGACACGGCTGGCTTGAGCGATCCACTTGATAACCAGCGTCGTAGTACAGTTTAGCGAGAGCGCGTATGTTTTGGATTGGGCCAACCGGCTAACTCAAACATATCCAGGTTAGGGTGAACCGGCTTCGTAGTACAGGCCTCTGCTCCATCGAAATCAGTCGCATTGACCCGAAGACACATTTTGAGTTGTATACACTGTTGGAAAGAGGAGATTCCTAGCTTTCTAATGATATCACATGTCACATGATGTAATGACTGTCACCGAGTCATCATTTTGAGAAAAAGGCTTTCAAAGTTTCCTCTTCTCTAGAATCCATCGATCTGATTGATTATTAGCGGAGCAAATGATCAAAATACTACGGAGGGAAGATATTTTCGTTTGGATTACTGGTCTGGGGGAAGCTCGCGAGTGTGTGTGTGTTTGTGTGTGTTTGTGTATTTTTGCATTTGTGTGTATTGTGTTTGTTTCCCGGGGAAAACACTCACGAGAAACACCAGCTGTTGTTATGCCTGCTGTGACGTCAAGTTACTCCGTTCTCCGCTTGTAATTATGCCGTTACAAGCTTCAAAGTTGTATTTATCATCTGAATTTGCCGAAACAAGTTTAATATTCTGAAAGCCAAGACTTTGTTTAATTGAAATCAGATTAAAACAAACTGTAACGGGCCCTGCCGTGTTATCCATGATTACTATACGCCTTACATTCATAATTTCCGCCAGAGGGAGGGGAAGCAACACTGCGGAACAGCAGAGTGGCGAGTGAGAGCTGTCATCTTCCCTTTACAAGCTTCAAACATGTATTTATCGTGTGATTTTGGAAATAAAAGTTTCATATTCTGAAAGCCAAGACTTTGTTTAATTAAAATCAAACAAAACACCCGAACCCCTTCCGACTGATTTCGATAGAGCGGGTCACATATGCTGCTATTCAATAAAAGAAAAACCTCCATGCCTTTAAAATGACAATCGTTATATAGCTTTCCTATCAGTTGTTTTAAGCTGATCAATAAGCACAGAAAATATGACCAGAACAGGTCTGGGATATTAAAACATGTCCTTGCTGTCTGAGCCCCAGCTGTGAACCCTCCTGTCCCAAGACGTGGAGCAGGCACACTGGACGGAGTTTCCTCTGTGAGTCTTAGAACACACCTGCATCTCCCACACTGAACTTTAGGAACCCTTCACCATGTTAGATTAGACCGGTGGTGTTCACAGTGCCGTCTGAAAATGGCAATAATCACAGTATTTGCGGAAAAATAAATAGTTGGAGTTGTTATTATATTTGAATATTATATGGGGTGTTTCACCATGGTAACCAGCACATCTCTAATCACACCACGCACAATGTGGCTAAAACCGGCTATGAATTACATCAGCACCATGGTCCTTGACTCTTTTATTCACTTTATCTTATTAATGTGTCTTTTATCATTTGCCTGTATGCGACTCCCTTTATTAAAATGGAATGATTGGCCTGTGGCTCACCTTGAGGCCCAGGGAGCAGAGGAACATCTGGGCGGCTCTCTCTCCACAGCTGGTGAGGTAGCAGCCCAGCAGAGCCTCCACACAGTCGGCGATGCTCTTGTCGGCGATGCACTGCTCCGTGTGCAGGTCGTAGGAGATGGACTGCTTGCCCAGCTCCGCCCCGCAGTTCTCCTCTGACGGGTTCCAGAAGCCCACCACGAAGTCGTCCTCCTCCCCCGCCTTGCTGGGGTCCAGGTAGCACATGGCGTCCCACGAGCTGTAGTCAAACTCCTCGGCTGAGGGCCCGCTGGGCGCCGGCTCAGGGGGGTAGTGGGCTGCGGTGGGATGGTGGGGCTTCTTCGGGGGCTTCCACTCGCGTGGGGTCTCCGTAGCAGGGGCGGAAGCCGAGGCCGGGGTGAGGGAGGGGGAGGGGGAGGGGGAGGGGGAGGGGGGGAAGCTGCTCAGAGAGATCTTCTTGCCAAACGCTCCGGACCCCAACAGCATGTTGTCGATGAACTTGATGTGCTCCTTGTAGTACTCCAGATCGTCCTCCACGTTCACCTCGTCCTTCGGCTCTTCCTTCAGCATCAGCCCCTCCTCTTCCTCCTCCTCCACCTCCTTACACTCCTCAGCCTCCTCATCGTCCTCGTCAAAGTCCGTTCCAGACTGCCCGTTGGCCAGGAGCTCCTCTTTGACCTGATGATGGCCAACAGGAAGGAAAGCAGAGTTCAAAGGACATTAAAGAAGGAAATTAATTAGTAATCACTTTTAAAACCTGCCTTAAAAGTGATTTTTTGTTATTTAAATGAAGCTTCATGATATAGACAGGTACAGTTTCCTCAGGCCTTTGCAGTGCGTGACTCAGAAACAACGCTCTTTGCTCCTGTTTAGGAATGGTTCTTTACAAAGCTACAATACAAAAGTTGTGAATACATACACTTTCTTTTATAAAACAGAAATGATTCATTACCTACAATTTGTCTTTGACACTTTAACGTACAAATATGAACCAAGAAAGGCAAACATAAACACAAGGCGTTTCATTTTAAGTACAATTTTCAGCTTCAGGTAAGCAGACCAGAAGCACTGGTTGTTAAATGAGCGTTTCTCACTCGACTTAGTTTGTGGTTCCTGCTTTGTCTTGTATAAGAAAAATCATTCAAAGCAAAGTGATTTGATTGTTTTATAAAATACTTAAGATTATAACGGATGTTATTTCTGTCCAGTTTCTGGGCTGTTTGGCTGCTGGACGCTGTGAGTTGAAATGTTTCCTTCACCCCTCTCTATTTCTATCAGCTGTAAACCTAAAAACAAACATGTTGTGTTGCCAGACAAATGGGAAGCCTGCCCTCTAGTGGCCAGACCACATCATAACACTCACAACATCCATGACACTAATTAATGAAGATCATACTTCACTGTGAACGGTTTATCACAAAGTACGGGTATGCTCGAAATGTCCAACTCTTACATTTTTATAGTAAAAACACACTGCCTGGGTCGATTAACCTGTTAAGCTCTGAGCCTGTTTTTCAGGCCTCAGGCACGAAAATGACATTCCCAGAACAAATGACTATATCTCACTTCTAAAAAGGGGAACATTTATAATCCTTTTTCTCAAAGCAACGATACACCTGTGAGTTGGATGTAGAAAAGTCAGAATCAATATAGAATTGTTTCATTTTAAAGTAAATTCAGATTGAACATAGTAAAAAAATGTAAATTATAGTGTCCGTCTTATAGTGAAAACCACCCTTGAATGATGGGTTAGTAGACTAAAAGCTTTAGGAATCCAAAGTATAACATATAATAAGTACCCTGTATCAAGATTGATGCAAAACAAGTGACATTTGACCTTTTTAGAGAGATTTAGAAAAGAAAAAAACACCTTTGGGGTCATTTGGGTGGATTTGCCGTTTCTCTGGAACCCATTGGTCGATTTTGGTGATTGACACCTCTTTTGAACCGTTAGAGCCAATAGAATTGAAGGGGAAGTTCCACATACACACACGTTACCATTGAGGAGTTAGTGTGACGCGCACGCTGTCGAAAGCTATGTTATGCTCTGAAAACTGAAACCTAGGCTGAAACTAGTAAATATGAAGATGGATTATCAGTAATCATTTCAAAGTGACACAGACACATTGGATTAACCTTTGGATTAACCTTCAGCAGCGTTATCATCGTTTTTGATGCCATTGAACACAACTTTTGATCAGAACAACAGCTGAGGTAAGAATCTCTCTGTGTTTCCTCCGTGAAGCTACGTGTTGTGATGTCTGTTTTCGCGAGTTCGGATTGCTCAGTGATGATACTAATATTTCTGGAATCTGTGGAATCTCAGCTTGCTAATCGATATCTTGTTTGTGCAGATACGATAAGTAATAAGGGTATTTATACCTAGAGTTCTGTGCTAAGTGCGATAGCATTTTTTCGCTCAGGGCTCATTTAGACGCTTCTTGTGGGACTTTTTGTTCATTCCATTGTTTCGATAAAAATGGTTCGTCAGTTAGCCGAGTTTCTTCCCATTAAGTGAGTATGGAACATTAATAGTTTCATAAATGTTACGAAGCCCTGAGACACAGTTTCGTGAAAAAAAAAATGCTGATCGCCAATTTTGGGGCCGATCGCCGGAATCAGTATCGGCCGATACCGATCGCCGATCCGATCGAGTGGGCGGGGCCTAAGGGGATCTTTCATTTAAAGTGATGTTTACAACTCAGTTAATGGGGCTCATTCACTGGCGCTTCCACAAACAACAACCAACATCATTATTACATTCAAATGAAGTAAATTATTCAAGTTTACATAAACTTTGGATAATAACACGGGAGAAATGAGAGGAAGCGCTCTCTTTTCCTCTCTCCCTCTCTCTCTCTCTCTCTCTCTCTCTCCTGACAGCCTGTCAGTATCTCATGCAGCTCACTGATCCAGTAATGAGTGACCCGACAGTGAAGAATACATATATTTATAACTAGTTTAGCTAGTTCCAGAGGTAGATAAAATAGCTTCACTCACGTTGCATACCGCTATTTTATTGTCATTTTCGGACACCTTAAAATACTGCCAGACTGGTGAAGCCATTTTGGCGAGCTTGTTTTGCCGCGCACTGAGAAAAGTGTCATGTATTTTACGTCATCATTTTACGTCATGCGATCGGTTCTCGCGATCGACATTTTTAGAGAGCACCGATCGATCGGCAGAGAGTGAGTATCGGCCGATATCGATCGGCGGCCGATCGATCGGAGCATCCCTAGTTTTATTTAATTTACATTTTTCTGTAAGTATAAAGAAAGAGAGAGAAAGTGTGCACTGACCTCCTCTGAGTCCAGTATGTCTGTGCAGCTCTTGTCCTGGTTCACCACGTATCCGGGGGGCAGCCAGTTGACGGGGGGGGTCGAAGATGGACACCACCATCCTGCTGGGGAGGCCCTTCTTCTTCCCCAGGCGGTACAGGTTACAGTTGCTCACCTGGATGGACATGTTACAGGGTAAAGGTTATTCACTGACAGCATGCTACATGTTTCAGTGAATAGGAAACTCAGGGTCTGTAAGGATGTTCAAATATGTAATAAGATTAGAAAGACTGTATTACATTCACGTACAAGGACTGACTAAAAGCATAAAAGTGGGTAATGTTCAAATCGACAACATATTTGAACTAGGGCTGTCAAGTTAACGCGTTAATAACGCGTTAACGAAAAAAAAAATTAACGCCACTAATTATTTTAACGCGATTAACGCATGTGTATTTTTTGTCCTCGGCCCCCGTAGTTTCAGAGCGCATCGAGTGTAAAACACCATCTACAAGCTGATGCTGACAGCCCCGCTCCTGCTGCCCGCTTGTGGCAGACCACACTTCCACGCTCACCGGCAGGCCCGGACTGGCCATCGGGAGGACCGGGAGGGCGTGTGTATGTGTGGCGCGAGCGAAGCACACCTTACGTGTTGTTGTTAGCATCTGGTGCTAGCTAGCTGAGCTAACGGATATAAGGAGCTGTTTCAATGAAAACAGAGGAGCGACATTTCGCCGACAACTGCGCCGAGCACTTGACTTTATGCAGGTAGCCAGACAGCACACTTAGCACGGATAGTGCTGCACACAGCTCATACACACAGGCATATATGCCTTGAGCTGCACATAGCTCCAACGATCCATCACAGTACACACACACACACACACACAAACACACACACACACACACACACACACACACACACCACACACACACACACACACACACACACACACACACACACCACACACACACACACACACACACACACAACACACCACACACACACACACACACACACACACACACAACACCACACACACACACATCACACACACACACCACACACACACACACACACACACACACACACACACACACACACACACACACACACACACACACACACACACACACACACACACACACACACACACACACACACACACACACACACACACACACACACACAACACACAACACACACAACCACACACACACACACCACCACACACACACACACACATCACACACACACACACACACACACACCTTATTGTATGAGAGAGGTTCCAGGTTGAATTGAGGAGAATACTTTGTAATGTTCAGGTTGTTGTGTTTAATATTCATGAGAATATTTGTCATTGTTCAAATGATAATAAACAAACATATAAAGCATATTTGTCCACTCATATGTTGATAAGAGTATTACAAACTTGAAAAATATCCCTCTAAGGTACATTTAGAACAGATAAAAAATGTGCGATTAATTTGCGATTAATCGCGATTAACTATGGACAATCATGCGATTAATCGCGATTAAATATTTTAATCGACTGACAGCCCTAATTTGAACATTTTAAAAGTACTTTATATTTTCTTATTTACATTGGTGTTTAAAATGTAAAACTGTGATCTACTAGACAGTCTTAATCTAGCATCCTGAGATGGATTGCTTTTGTCTCCACCCACATATCTGAGAATTCCCAGTATTCTGGTCCTCTATTTCTCCCCATTTATGAGGTAGGATGTCCGTTGTGTATCGGCTTGTAATTATACCTTAACATGTCAAGAGTTTTCAAAAGAGTTCCTGTGACATTTTGAGTGAGTTAAAGAGAAGTTTTGCCAAATGTACTAATGTGCAGTGAATGTGTTTTCAGGCCAATCCCTGGAAGTCACATTGAGAAAAAGCAATGAGATTTTCCATTGGATTATTGCAGAAAATGTAATCTGTGGCAAACAGGTTTATGATACTTGCACGTTTTGTTCAACAGGATACTATCCACATATTAACACCACGTTATGATCCCTGAAGCGTAAATGCAATCACCAGATATATAAATCTAAAGGCGGTGGAAACCAAAATGTTTTTGACGCCTTTGATGTTGTAGAACAAAAGGTGAAATCTCTTCAGCTTGTGTTAGCCACAGACCTTATTTCAGACTAACAACCAAAAACATGGCTGACTTCAAGACAAGGGAACCAGAAGTAATAAAATGCCGACTCATTTCTAGGTTTTAGGACTCATTCCTGCAACACTCCAGTCATTGCACCTATGATTAGGGATGGGTATCGTTTGACATTTATCGATTTCGATTCCGGTTCTTATCGATTCCCCGTTTCGATTCCAAAATTATAAAAGAAAGAGGTCAAACATTTAGATAACACACTTTGTAGGTTGTTGCTTTCTATTGTTTTTACTTCATGGCTGTTATTATTTTATTCTTGTTTATTTGTACCTCTTTATTTGTATTTGTACTTATTGTATGGTTTGTGAGCTGAGCTGTGTGTTTGTTGTATTTCATTCCTTTGGTGTGGAGGTTGTTGGGTGCTTTACAGATAACGCTGTATTGTAACTGACCTTCTTGCTGCGCATGTAGCTGAGGCGGCCCTCGTGCGCGTCGGGGTAGGTGCAGAACAGGTACGTGGTGATGGCGTGTTTGAGGAAAGAATCTCCGAGCATCTCGAGGCGCTCCAGGTTGAAGCCGTCGCTGGCGTTGGAGAGGGTCAGCGCCTGCAGGATGAGACCAGGGTTGGGCCCCAGGCTTTTGAGGGGGTCTCCTGCCGGGGCTCCGTGCTGATCAGAAGGTACTGCGGGAGCCGGCAGGCAGCAGACTGAGGTAGATGGATTTGAGGTGCTCCCTGGCGTACATTCGTCACTGGGCTGCGGAGGACTGGAGCTGGGCTTCTTGGAGCTGGGAGGGGGGGGCTGCACAGGAAGTGAGGTAGTGCTTTGTATTGATTGGGGGCTCTGCGGCCCAGGGGAGCGGGGCCGGGAGCGTTGGCAGTTGTCCTGTTGGTGAAGGTGCTCGTCTTGGGGACCGTCGTCATCGCAGTTGGTGCTGAGGGCCGTGCCGTTGGTTAGGGTCCTGGTGCAGGGCTCTTCTTCAGGCTCAGGGGCCACGAGGGGGTGGGGACTGCTGGGACGCGCTAGGGAGTTGGGTTCAGGGGTTACAGTCTCTTGGTGCTCACAGGGACCCTCACCCTCATTCTCATCATCATCATCATCATCACTGCAGGAGTCAGGGCAGGAGATGAACGTCTTGCTGTCGATGGATCGCTTCCAGCCAAAGTCCAAGTTCGGATACCTGCCAAATAAACAACAACCACAAAAGAATGTTTGGATCAATATCTGAAGAGGCTGAACTATGGCATTTCTATAACATATCATTTCTCATATCAGCATCCTATCAGTGATGACATGCTCCTCCCGTCATCAATGACGTACAAACGTTGAAACTACAGACTGGAAAGAAATCAAAGTTTAATAGTGAATGCGTATAAACTATACACTGTCCAGTGTTTCCCCTAGGATGGAGTCATAGCAGCGGTGCTAAGGCCCAGCTAAATGTTGAAGTGAAATGCATCAATCTGGTGCACTTTGAGCACAACATGAATTGATGGATACAGCTCTCAACACTCAGATGAAAGGGAGCTGTATACTTTTCAATCATCCAAACATCTTTAGAATATGATCACAACCAATAACAAATCATTTAAACTGGTTTATTCTTATCTTATGTTACCTAGTTAGCATTCTTTCTTTTTATTTATGCATATTTTACTAATCACTCCCCTTCTAAACCTTTTTTTTCCTGTCCTATAGTACAGGGGTTCCCAAAATGGGGGTCGAGATGATTACAAAATAAAAAATTAATACATTTTTTAAATAATTGTTTTTTTAATTATTATTAATAACAACGTGTGCATAGACATTTTTCAGGGGCGGACTAGCCATCTGTATAATTTCCCCGCGGCGAGGCTCCCCCTTTGACAATCCACTAGCGCAGTGTTTCTCAAACTGTTTCATACCAAGGACCACTTAACCAATAAAAAACACTCACGGACCACCTGACTCCACAAATATCCCAAACAATAGGCCTGCTCACCACTCCAACAGTACATAGTAGCCTAATAATGACAGCTTAACCTTCTCTATATCGCCTCGTTCAGACATGAAATCAACAATACAGATTTCATTCAAATGCGATTTAAAATGCTCTCAGGTTTTACACCTCTTATGAAATGTAGACTACATTTATTACGGAGTTTATGTCCGAGCCAACAGACTCCTGAGAGATATGCAAAATACACCGCATGTAGTACGACACAAACCTCCGCTGTGGATTTTCAAAACAAAATACAGTAAAACTATGGTCGCAGGCCCAAGTTTAACGAGGCCTGCATGGTCTGCCTACAAAACTAAAATAAAAAAAACGTTTATGCAATCCTCTTTCAGCGTGGATAAATGTTCATCAAATACATCCATTGTTTGTTCTATATGCTTTTTGAAATCCTAAAAAACACATCGTTTTTCTAGAACAGATTACAAATCGCCTGAAAATGGTACAAACAAGTGGCAACATGTTTGACGAAGGTGTTGCGCTGGGCTATATCATGCAATCGAAAGTGAAACTTAAGCTCGCTCCATTGCGGAGATATTCCCACGAGAGTGCGGAAAACTTGACAGGGGTCGCCAGTCTCTGGCACTGCTATTTTGGGGGTCGCGGGCTGAAAAGTTTGGGAACCCCTGCTATAGTACACATTGGAATGATTTCTTACTTTATTTTGTACAACTATATTAAATAGATAAAGGTGCGCTCTCTCTCTAGCTCGCTCACAGAGGCTGTGTGCTCCTCCGTGGCGATGACGCGAGCACCACGTATTATTATTTTAATGTATAAATTAATTAATTTTTTTTTGGTACCCGGTAGGGATGCCAGAAACTGACCATGATCAAATTCGAAAATCGGACAGCCCTGGCGAATATTAATCGATTATTCCCTAGTACCTGGCTGACGCCCCCAATGTATATAGGGGAAACACTGCTGTCTATGGCATGAGAAAAATAGATGTTGCTTAATTTATGTCACATTACCTTATTTTGAGTGTGGACAGAGAAGCTAGAATGGAAGTTCAGCCTAGCCATGATAGAACCAATCATCATTTTAAAAGATTTTGGCATGCGGACAGACACTGACAAAGAAATAACTCCGGCTTTTAACTATTTCATTTCAGTATGTTGTTATTTAGGCATCCTCAAGAAACATTTTTTAAATAAAATCATAGCAAAATATGTTGATTTGGTTTATTTTTACCACTGTAATACAAAAAATTGGTTCAGCCCACTTTTGACTTGCTAGAGACAGTGACTACATGATTTTTGCCATGGATGATGACACGTGTTGTCCTCCTCTCCTGCGAGAATCAGTTGAGCGTCTGCTCCAAACGCACCATTAAAGATTTAGCAGATGCCCAGTAGCAAAGGGCAGCATACTTCATTTGTTGCACTCTTTCACTGCGAGAGAATAAGCAGGACGTGTCGTGTGCAGTGTTAGTACTACAGTAGAGAAAATAAAATGGAATAACTGACAATGTCTCGCTGTTGTTAAGCACTGATCCTGTGTTTATGTGGTTTAGTGGGTAAAACCAGACCTGAAGTCGGGGGGGAGGGTCTGAGCCCCCACTCCAGCCTCACTGGCGGTCTGGGCCCGCAGCTCCTCTGCAGTCAGCAGACAGTGGAGGCGGTACAGGATGCTGGGCAGGCACACAGCTTTCCTCCACAGAGAGGCGGGGATGGGGTGGATGGCACACAGCTCTGGAACCAGGATCTGACAAACACAATGCAATGTTACACTGCTGCAGCTCAGAGTGTGGAAGCTCATGTCTAATATTTAAGAATTATACCAGGACGTCATTGGCTTCTAGATGGTTTTCTTTGCAGTTAAATACGAGTCATGATCAATCCATAATAGCTTTTGTTCAAAAATGTCAATCATGAAAATGGATACAACATGTAATAAAAAGTAAATCTTTGAAATCAGGCACTCTGAGACAATGGTCTTACTTCATCACCAGCAGTCAAACATTTTTAAACTGTGCAGTTAAGCATTCATATTATTATTATTACTAATCCAATGTATACACCTCTGTATACTAGGGATGGGAATTTGAAAGCAAATGTATATTCGAATATTCGACCCCCCAAAAAACGGTTAACCGGTTAACCGAAATGTACATATCCTATAAAAAAAAAATTGGGTCAAAAAAACATTTCTAACATTTTTTTTGGAAAAAGGTTTTTTCAATAACCAAGTCGAATTTGTCAAATGTATTGAACTGGTGATCACAGTTTGACAGCTATAGGCTTACAGCTTTCATGTGCAGAGGCGATTCACAATCAGGCCAGCTGTAGAGAAGACCCTCTCAGCTGGAACAGAGGTTATATAAGTTTAATTTGGCATAGTTTGCACTCTACACCGCACTCACTAACCTGGTCGAAATATTTCCACACATTACTCCTTTTTGACGCCCTGTCTGTTGTGTAGGACTCTTCTTAGAGTGTAAATAATTACCGGACTATGACTGGTAAAATATGTTGAATACCGGCAAAACTAAATCTCTCCTGTCAAAATCTCTATGTACTTTGCCGCCACACACGGTTGCCAAGCAGCGCTTATTGTTGTTTAGGCTGGCCACTCATGTGTCGCGAGTGTTGACAGGGGGCGGGGGAGCACGCTCATGAACGGTTAGCGCCGGAACCTCGCAACGGCTGCGGAGCGCATTTGCGCCGCATTTGGGCATAAGATGAGGTTTGAGTCTGTGTGATCTGCGTGTAGGCAGGGGCAGCAGCCATATCATTAGCTAGAACTAGCTAGATCTGATGGATTTGGACATAAACGCGAGTGAAGTACCGGACGCGAGAGAGAGAGATCAGCACCTGCAGCTCTGCCCGCTGTGAGGGACCGGTGAGCGGAGCAAAACACACCTTTAGACCTAACACATTTAGCTATGGCACTGTCGTATACATTGAATTATTCAATTTGATAATATGTAATCAACTTAGGCATCCCTCCCAAAAAAAATCCATAAAAATATTCATAACTCATATTCGAATACCTGAATAATTATTTGAATACCTGAATAATTTCGAATATTCGATTAATCGTTCCCATCCCTACTGTATACACTGTAATAAACATGCATATAAGGAGATTGTGTATATGTGCATATTTGAACTTGAAGTTCCTATAATTATATGCATTTTTTTATTCTATTTAAGATTTGATTGGACATTTTACCATAAGCTGCTATGTTCATAATATCCTTTTTATTCAAATGTTTTCTTTCTCAGTTCTTGGTGCTGGCCAATCAGATTGTTGGTGCCTGAGTTTTACAAATGTTTGGTACGAGAGCCGGACTCCTGTTCCTGGACCTGCCTTGGTGGTATCACTGAAATGAATGGGGGGGGGCTGTGATTTATTACCTGTTTGTTCTGCAGACTCTCCCACTTGGCCTTCCTCTTCTCTGCGCTGCTGAGCGGCAGAGCTTTGCCTTTCTGGTTCAGGTGCCGAGGGGTTAACAGGTTCAGTCTGAGAGCAGAGGGAACAAGAACAAGATTTTACCTGTCCAAATAATGGTCATGGACAAGGTGCAGTCATTACACTGGAACTTGATATCACTTTGCTTTCAAATGTGACCTTTGCTAAATCGAAATATTGTATCAAAATATTCTGAAAATCTCTAACAGAGAACTGTACAGTTCATTGGACATTTATACAAAAAAATGGGCTTTTTGTATTACTTGCATTCTGACCATAATCACCCACAATGCAACAGGACTGGATCAGTTCAGTTCTGGTGTTAAGATAGTAGCAGGTAATGTTTCCAGCAGCAGATCTCTGTAAGATCACTACTTTCTAACTTTACAACCCCACATACTTTACTTTTTAAACTTGACCACTTTAGTCCCGACCAAAGCTGCCTCAAGGCAATTTCTCATACTCAACACATCTCTCTCTGGGCCCAAAAGGCGCTATACTACTTTTCTACAGGTGTGTCCAAACATTTTTCAATGAGGGCCACATACAGAAAAATATACGAAGGGCTGGGCCCCTCACTAGAGGTTTGAAAAGTGGGCTTATTAACACAGGAGTACTGTGTAACATATTTTCATATATATAAGATGTATAATATAGTCAAGCACAAGTTCCATGTGTGGGCCATATTCCATTATACTTTTAGAATTTGCTGTGGGCCATTGGCACCCCGGGCATCCTGAAGCACACTTGGATGTGAAAAATGTGTTTGTGTTTGAGACCCTTTGTTAAACCTGTTCTCTTGCACAGACTCGGGACAAATGACAAAACTATAAGAATTAACCTTTTGAAAATTCCTAGTAGTTAAAATAGCAAATATAGCAAATAGAGCAAACTAATGAGAGTGGAGAGCCTGTGCTGCTACCTGGAGGAGGTGTGGTCCACATCCAGGAGCGGCTGGTTCAGGTTGGACAGGTCCAGGTTGTACTTGGTTTTGTAGTACTCAGCAAACGTCTCGTACTCTGGAGAGGGAAACTTGCTGAGCGGCGTCAGGTCTGTGTACACGTCGGCGACATAGAAGCGATGCGGTTGGTCAAAGTTACGATACCTGGGGGGGGGGGGGGGGAGCAGGGAGAGTCATTGTGGCGCTCAGACATCGTAAGCATAGTAAAAGTGGTTTGAAGGTTCACATGGCGCAGTGGTACCGTGGAATGATGACAGCATCCTGGTAGTCCTCCAGCTTGAAGCTGAAGGGGTTCTGCTTGGTGTACTGAGTGGTAGGAATGCCGGTGCGGGCCTCAGACTTCTCAATGTCCTCCATGAAGGAAAAGTCCATGTCTAGTGTGTTGGAGTCATCAACTGAATGAGCAGCAGAGAGAGAGGATGGTTTAAGGAAGGGGTCGGCAACCCACGGCTCTCGAGCCACATGCAGCTCTTTAAGCCCTCTGCTCTGGCTCCCTTGAGCTTAGACAAAAATAAGAAGGAAATAAAATAAAAATATTTGTAGGACTATTTATATTTTGTTGAAAATGTTCCGTATCTTGTATTTTGAGGTGATACTGTGACACATAAATAAAAAACAAAACGGTTTTAATTAGGTGAACTAAAAGATGCGTCACATCCTGCTACGGTCCCGCGCCACTGGCACCAGCGCCTTTTCTTACAGGCGAATAACCTGAGCCCCGGCTCGATGAGCGAACTATGGATACATCAAAGAAAAGAAAAGTATCTGAGGAACACAGAGGGTTTCATTCTGCGTGGTTAGAGTTATCTGCTTTCACAGCAAACGATGCTGGCTTACCGGTATGTTTGATATGTGGAGAGAAGTTATCAAAGGTGCTGCAGCCTTTACGCATTGGAGGAACAACACGGAAGAGGAAGACACCTGACGATCTTCATCATAATTCAATCAGTTAACTCTTTTTAGGGTGCAGCTATATGTTTTATTGATTTCAAAGTGGGTCAATTTTAATTATATTCATTTTCTTCAAATGTGCAGAGGACTACCCAAGTGCTGTGTTGATTTATTTGAAAGTTTGAAGTCTCCTTATAAGAGTTATTTGTTTGGTATTAGAGGTAAACAGTTTTCTATAATGTAATAAATAATAAATGCAAAAAAACTGTAGTTTTTGTCTATGATGTAACAATATATACAACTTTATAAGCTATCAAGTTATCAAATATGTTTTGCAGCTCCAGACAAAACAAATTGGTGGAAATGGGGTCAGAATGGCTCTTTTGGTCAAAAAGGTTGCAGACCCCTGGGTTAAGGTAACAAATAAACATCTTCACCACGAAGGTATGAAGGGAACCCATTTATTCCAATGACAGTTGCTCAGTGGCACTTTAAGTCAAAATGGGCCAACTGTCGAGAACAAAAATATCAGACCTTCCCTGGATCTGGGCCCATAGAGCATGCGCACTAGCATTTTCTGTAAGCCCCGCCTCCAATCTGCTCGTTCACAGTAGCTTATTGGCCGTTCTCGGCTCAGTCAAATGAATAGAGAGGACAATAAACTTTGGATTCAGCTTTTAGCACACATTTCAACTTCTAGGACCTGATGATTTAAATATGGCTTCTGATGTGCTGAACACAATGAAACTCAATCTGTTCAGGACAACCATCGAGACCATCCTTTTGTACGGCTCCAAAACCTGGACCTTCAATGTTTGGACACCATCAACTAGGGTTGCCCGCAACTAAAGATTTTTCTAGTCGACTAATAGTCGTCAATTAAGGCGATTAGTCGACTAATCGCCTTAATTAATTGTGTGTGTGAACAAGCAGCGAGGACACACACGGAACATTTAGAGCTAGCTTCCATTATTCATATCTGAATATAACAACCAGACTTTCCGTTAGCCGGTAATTACCGGACTATGACCGGTAAAATGTGCTGAAGACCGGCAAATCTAAATCTCTCCGGTCAAAATAATTTCCCCTTAGCGCAATACTGCATCAGTTGCACCACTTATGTTACAGACAAGAAGAGTACATTCTAATGTCTAACTAGGGATGTCCCGATCCGATCACGTGATCGGGGATCGGAGCCGATCAGGTGATTTTCACGTGATCGGGGATCGGGAGAAAGAAATCGGGGATGGGATTTTTTTTTTTTTTTTTTTTATAAAATATTTTTATACATTTTATTTAATGTTACAAAACAAAAATGACCATGTTCACGTCTTAAAGTCATCCTGAGGCCTTAGTTTTGGGTTAAAATTACACAACATCATGTATGTGTTGCTTCTTTTGGGCTTGTTTTCATCGACCTGGTTGCTTATTTCTCTCAAATCTGGCAGAGTGGGCGCAGTGTCTAATAGTAGCAGTAAGCTAACAAGAGGCTACGTTCAGCTGGTGCCTCGGGAGTCGGGACAGAGAAAATGTCAGGAGTTTGGAAGTATTATAAAATTGAAAGCGAAGGCAGTGTAACAGCCAGATGCAATGTTTGCAAGGCGGAGGTTCCGCGTGGTGGAAAGAACAGAGCTACGTTCAACACGACCAATCTAATACAAACACCACCAACAACAACACGACGAGTACACAGCGGCCACTCAGGTAACGGCACTGAAACAACCGACACTTTCAGAGACTTTTAAAAGGAAAGAGAAACTACCCCAGAACAGCCAAGATAGCTGAATTCATCGCGTTGGATGACCAGCCGTTATCTGTTACCTTTTTTTCCCTCTTAATGCATTGCATAAAGATCGGATCGGGAAAAATCGGTATCGGCAGATTGTCAAAATCAAATGATCGGAATCGGATCGGGAGCAAAAAAAGGTGATCGGGACATCCCTATGTCTAACATTTAATGTGGAGAAAGAGAGTTATCCTCCTGAAGGGGACATTTTGACCCCTCATGTAAACAAATGCATAATTTTGCTGTAAAAAAAAAAAAACTGTAGAACAAGGTCCATCGACTTTAATCGCACAATGATGATGATGATAATTTAACCATGAGTAGTTGATTAAAGTAGTAGTAAAAAAACACATATATACACAATACACTACACTACAGTGTTTCCCCTAAATACAAATCGTGGCGGCGTAGCCAGGTACCCAAAAAAAAAATAAAGAATATATATATTTTTTTTTTACTTTTTCTTTTTTAATTAAAATAATAATAAGTGGCGACCCTTTTTCATTTTTGATTGTTTGTTATGTGGATTTGTAGTATTTGTGTTACTGTTCAATAAAGGTGTATTTTTGCTAAATCTTGAGACATTGCCACTGTATGTACTGGCAGGGCCGATTTTTGGCATAGGGGCGCCAGATCTGGGGGGCGCTGCGTTGGTAGCTCTGGGAGGGGAAAAAACATTTTTGACCATTGGCGCTCATCCTAATTTTCGGCCTTGATGTAACAACATTCATAATTAAGTAAATGTAACTCCCTTTTCACCCCGGTTACACTTTTCATTTGCCCTGTACGATGGGCGCTGTAAGTGATGAAAGTGGGGGATGTTGGCTTATCAGGCGCCCGCAGCTCACAGCCAAAGTGCGAGCGTGGGAGCGAGAGAGCGAGCGAGGGAGAGAGAGAGAGGGCGCACCGGTACCGGTGCTGTTATTAGAATCTGGTGCTAGCTGCACTAACGGATATAAGAAGTAGATGTTTCTACAACCAGGGTGGAGGAGAGCTCTCCTGTCAGACTGAGAGGCTCAGTGAGGTAAAGGACTCTCTGAGGGTTTAGATAGTTCATTTTAGTCTAAGTTATCTCAGTGGGTCTCAAACGGTTTGACGACAAATTATGTAAACACATATTTCCAAGGCACTCCTTTATAATTATTAGGATAAATAAAAACAGGTTTGAAATCATTCCAATGTATACTATAGGACAGTAAACCAAACATATCGTTTAAAGTTGGAGAGATACAAAAATATGCATAAATAAATAAATGTTAACTAGGTAAAATAAGATATGAATGAACAACAAAAATAAAATAAGTTACATTTATTTGTTATTGGCTATGGTAGGTTATTGGTTATGTTCATATACTTATTGATTATTAAAATGTAACCCGATCTTTTTCAGATGGGTGTTTTAGAGTTCCCCTAGATCAGGTCTCTAGTAATTGTGTGCTCAAAGTGCACCAGATTGAAGCATTTTACTTTAAAATGTTCAAGAAAATCTTCCCGGGGAGGCATACCCCCGGACCCCCCTAGAGCAGTGGTTCTCAAATGGGGGTACGCGGACCCCTAGGGGTACGTTGGGGTACTGCAGGGGGTACGTGAGATTTAAAAGAAAAAAAAAGAAAAAAAAGGTTAATTAAAAAAATACCATGCATGATTACAAAAATAATCTTAGTACAATAAATTAAATAGAAAACACAATTTTATATAAAAAATTCCTAGAACCACCAAGGGGGTCCTCATATAAACATGTCAAATGTGTGTATTATAGTTTTTCACAATATATCATTTTGTTCATTAGTTTGTTAAACATATATTACTTCAGTTGAAAAACCTGTTTTATAAAAACGTTATTTTTTTTCATGCATAAAATGAAAATATCCTTAGTTTGTTGTAATTCATGCACGAAGCAGTTAATAAATCACACACTGAGGGAACATCACTATATTGTAATTATTTATATAGGCTTTTTCGATCAAAAATGTTCGGGGTCGGTCAGGGGGTACTTGGCTGAGAAAATGTTTCAAAGGGGGTACATTACTGAAAAAGGTTTGAGAAGCACTGCTCTAGAGGATGTGACGTCCACCCCCCAATTCAAACATGTTCATACAATACTGAATACATTTGAAGCCATTTTGACGTCTATTACCTATGTCAATACGTTTCTGTTTTTGTAGTGTATTTGTCTTTTGTAGAGATTTTTCATATATTCTTTATATATAAAATCTCGCCTAGGGCAGCAAATTGTCTAGAACCGGCCCTGGTATTAGGCCTCAAGAGCCTTTCTTGTGCTGGCAGACACATAGAAACAAATTGGCGGGGCGCACTTCGCACGTGCACACACTAAAAAATTCCACGCGCTCCGCGTTCACATTATGCTGGGCCCACGTGCCTTAGCACCGCTGCTATGACTCCATCCTAGGGGAAACACTGCACTAATTACCAGACATCTAGTTTCCAATGCAAGTCAATGGAAGTCTTATTGGGCTTAATTACGTCATAGTATGACATAGTATGACGTTGGAGTACCACTGCCTAGGGGAGATGAATGCAATAAGAGTGACAGAGTGATTGTACTGACCAACATTCAGAGGTAGAACGCAGTAGGCCGAGTCAGCCAGCGTGGGCTTGAACTCCAGTGCAGGTTTCTCCAGGCGGAGGATGTGGGAGAAGATGTACTGGTGCAGGCGGGTGATGAGGTCCAGCTGGGCGGTGGTCAGCGTGAAGCCGGACTTCTGCAGCTCGATGGAGATGGTCACCTCACCCGAGCGGGTGTACACCGGGAAATGGGGGATCTGGACAGAAAAGAAGCATCAGCTACCATCTACAACCAATGACAGCCATTTCTCTCTTTCTTTCCTTAAGAGTCTGATGTGAGAGAATAATGGGAGGTGACGTACTCGAGGTATGGGTTTGGCAGTCAGGATGCCGAAGCACCTGGTGGTGTCCTCCGGTGGGTACAGCCTCCTTCTGCGAAAGTTGAGTTCATCAGGGAGGGGGGTGGTGAGCACCATCCCGACCACATATAGGTAGTACGTCTGCTCTGGCACTGCGTAACTGTCCCTCAGACACTCAGGTATCTGAGGAGGAGAAGTGAAGGAGAAAAACATTGAACAATTCAACAGGATGCTCGCTGTTTGTAACAAAATAGTAAGCACTTCATAAATAATAAGACGTCATTAAACATTTGGAAAATTTCTAATGTTTATAGAGCGATAGGAAGATAAACATGAATGCCAACACCTTAAAGTGACACGTATCTAAATGTGTATTTGGAAATAGAAATCTGTTATTATGCTCAAATCAAAGATTCTGAATTAGTTCTTACTAGACATTTCTGCTCAACAATTGCAACTTCCAAACCAGAGTAGAAGATGAGCATTTTTTTTTTTAATACATAACAACATACACATTTTCCATCCAAAAAGTCAGTGAAAGGAATGTAGGGATTGTCCCATGAGAAAACATGGAAATGAACTGTAGAAATATGGTTTCTGCTTAGAGATGCTAATTTGTGTGCAATGAGAGAGAGGGAGCCTCCTTACGGCTTTAGGGTAGCACTGCCTCCTCTTGGTGGAGCCGGGCCGGCCTGGTACGCTGGTCTCCTCTTCATCGTGGAGGTCCAGCTCCTCTTCATATTTCACCGTCTCCTTTCCCACCGGCATCAGGTGATCATCCAGCTCACCTGGGGTAAAGAAAGCAGCATAACAAGATGAAGAGGATGCAGGGGAGAGTTCTATACAGGCTCACATTGAATAGTTTCCCCATCATGCATCTGAAAAATCTCATTCTGGTTTTACCTATTTTGTGGAGTTTCTCACAACATAGAAGTGCAACTGCTTTCTCTGCCAGCCTGGCACAGAACATGATAGGACCCTGCAAAGACAGTGACACATTGATCAAAGGAAGAACCTAATTCAGTTATTAATACATTCTATTAGTTTACACTAATGGAATCTATCGAGTGTTGACATATGAAAAAAAAGAAAGAAAAAAAAAGGCCTAAAGCCCCGTGTGGCACCTTTTCTGTCGGAAAGTGCTGTAGTAAAATTCATTTATAAAAGTGCTCTGTATTATACAGTATCATTAATAATACCAAGTATATGCATTGTCTAATGTCAATGTAAATACTGATGTATGTTCTCGTATCAAGGAGAGTAAAAAGGCGACGATATAATAGATTTAAAATGTGCGGCCCTCCACAGATACTGTACTTTGACATACACACAAACTGGAGAAATGCAAAACTGCCGCATTGATGGCAGAAGGAGCCGAGTGCAGCATACTATCACTCCATGTTAAAAAACAAGTTGGCGGTCAGAAAAAGCTGCTATGTGGACACAGGCCTTGTAACCATTGCCAACATTGTTAAAAATGCAGATGTTCTTCCTCACCTTAAGAGGAACTCTCAGAGGGGAGTTGATGGGCAGGTAGAGCGTGGACTGGAAGCGTGCGTCCGGCCTCTCTGCAGTTTTACACTTCGGGGCTAAGTGAGTGAAAGGGTCGCTGGGCAGCCGAGCACAATACCTGAGCACCAGAGCAGAGAGGACATTTAAAAAGCTGATTTAGGAGCGTTTCCTAAATGGATTGAGGATTTGAAGACTTCACCGACCTGTTGATGTGTCCGATGGCCGTGTTGACGGTGACCCGGGGGCTTCCATCCTCAGAGCGGAGCACGTAGGGAGGGATGATGTTGTCATCGTCCAGAACCTGCTCCAACTCATACTCACCTACCTCCACCGACTTGGAGCACTTGTTCCTTAAGATCTGCTCAGAAGAGTAACATCATCATCATCATCACTACCTCATTCAGCTTCACAGGATCACAATTGAACTTTCTACATTTCTCCTAACACTATTCAAATAATCCTCCATTGACTAAAGAAAGTGCCACCTTCTCTATGGACTTGTAGGTGGTGAGATCTTCCTCGAAGCCTCTGGTCCTCTCGCTGTCAGCCAGCATGATGTAGTTGGAGACGGGGGCTCGCGCTCTGCCTTTGGACTGGACGTAGGAGCGGTACTCTGTGGGCAGGTCGAAGCGCACCACCAGGTTACACTTTGGGATGTCCACGCCCTCCTCCACGATGCTGGTGGCGATCAGCAGGTTGGTTTCATGAGCGCGGAACTTGCGAAGAACCTGTGAGAGAAACAGGGGAGCCGAAGCAATAGAAAGTCTTTAAGAAATGCTTTCTAAACTACTAAATGTAAATGTTCACTACCTTGAAGGGCCAGGACAAACCTATGAATCCCATCAAGAAGCGCAACTCATGTGCAAGCCCATTAGTGTTGGCAGTTGGATAAACACATTGGCTCTTAGTGATTGGCTAAGGACATTTTCTGCAATTTCTTTCGCTTACTTATATTGTGTGGCCCCAAGCAGAGAGTAAAAGTGGAGGATTTTCACATCATAAGAGAGAGCTTGTTGGTGGAAAAACTTTGGGTTTACAGAGTTTAACTTAATTTCTTAAAGTTTGAAGGAAATCTTTATTGTTCCGTCACTGACGTGTTATCAGAATTAAAGCAAAATGTTGCTGTATGGTGACTTCAGGGAAGCTAGAGGATTTTCCAGTTCTGTTGTTTCTCTGTCATCTCCAACTCTGGCAGTGTTTGTGCAACTGGTAAGCTTTACCTTTCTGTCTTTGGGCTGCAGGCTGTGCGAGGTTACACTATCATGTTTTTTTGGTTCATGCTCCAGGGAAGTGTGCTTTTCTGTCTTTAAGCTGCAGGCTCCGGTGTAATGTGCCGTGTTGTTTTTTCTTCTGAGGCACAGGAGTAGGCGGGGTTGAAACAACATACAAATACTGAGAGAATAGCCCATTATGCTTTTGATTCTGATCTAAGTTGAAAGCTCTTTCCAATCGATTGTGGAATCAGAATAAAAATGGTTACAACTCTAGAGGAAAGAATAGAAAGTGACTAATCTGTGAGGGAGCTCAGTGGTAGCTAGGTCCTGCAATGAAACGCGATAACTCTACATATATCAAAATATGACAGTATATTTATGTACAGTGTGAACCATATGAGCATATATACCTCCTCTTGCTTCCTGAACTCCACCTCCATCTGCTTGTTGCGCGGCTGGTTCTTGCCGATGCTGTGGCCGGTGATGAAGTTGCTGCTGATGTAAGCCAGCTCCGGGTCCTGCTTCCCCGCCTCTTTGATCAGACTGAGGGAGGAACACAGACATACATGTTGAAGTTTCTCTAAGATGCACTGGCACAACTGTCATTATTCTCAAAACATGGGAAATACTCTGCTCTTAACAAATATCTGCTCTTTTTCAAAAGCAGACTGCTCCTCAAAGGGCACTGATCATGATTCAATACACAGAAAGAAGCCAAACAAACATATTCATTTGCCATTTATCCATCAGAAAACACTTTGGAATACTTCTTAAATATTCATTTATATATGCACAACACTTTGGGTTCATGATGGCTAAACTATCCACAGTGAATACAACTGAACAGAGAGCTGGACGTCAGAGAGTTCAACAGAACGGCAGAAGGAGACAGGAAGTAAACACTAAAGGGAACATCAGAAGGAGACAGACAGGAAGTAGACACTAAAGGGAACATCAGAAGGAGACAGACAGGAAGTAAACACTAAAGGGAACAGCAGAAGGAGACAGACAGGAAGTAGACACTAAAGGGAACAGCAGAAGGAGACAGACAGGAAGTAAACACTAAAGGGAACAGCAGAAGGAGACAGACAGGAAGTAAACACTAAAGGGAACAGCAGAAGGAGACAGACAGGAAGTAGACACTAAAGGGAACAGCAGAAGAAGACAGACAGACAGGAAGTAAACACTAAAGGGAACAGCAGAAGGAGACAGGCAGGAAGTAAACACTAAAGGGAACAGCAGAAGGAGACAGACAGGAAGTAAACACTAAAGGGAACAGCAGAAGGAGACAGGCTGGAAGTAAACACTAAAGGGAACAGCAGAAGGAGACGGACAGGAAGTAGACACTAAAGGGAACAGGGTATGGGCTCTGGCATTGTTTTAAGACTTGCTCATTGAAAAAAAATATGTCCAGACTTGGACAGTTACTGAAAACCTCCATCAGTGCTGCTGTCATTTTAAGTTAAGTTGCTGTTGCCGCAGTTCCAGCTGTTGTTTTGCAATAGAACAGACTACTTTGCTTAGCAGAAGCAAAATAATCATTTTTAAATCAATATGTTGTGTCAAATTGATGATTTATTTGGCAGGTAGCCGTGTTAAAAGCAGGATAATATGCAGCGAGCCGGTCATTGTAGGACAAAAAGACCCTGACCGCATATTATCCCTAATCCATGAATCCTCACGGTGGACTTCTGAGTTATTGATTATAAATAGTGTATTCCACAGGGTCCAAAAATAAGGGCGATTCACTTCACACTAAGAGCTACCAACAAACACATATGACAGTATTATAAACAGAAACATTTCATTGTCTTTAGTTGACATCACTATGTGTGAAGTGGTTGCCAGCCTACCGGTTGAGGACGACAGCCGTGTAGCGCCTCTCCACGAAGATGATCCCACAAAGGATGTTGGTGAACGGCGAGGGGAAGTTGGTTTCAGGCCTCTCTTTGACTTCCACCTCCTCGTCCTCATCTTCATCCTCAGAGTCGCTCCATGAGACGTAGTCGTCCTGGTTGCGGTTATTGTACCACTCTACGCTTTCGAACTGCTGCCGCTCAAAGGGCTTGTACTCGTGCAGGATCTCCAGCAGCCGGAGGACCTTGGGGGTGACGAACTTGAGGTCCAGGGAGGCGGGGGAGAAGTGCTCCTCGCACAGGGCGTGCACTTTGCGCAGGATGGTGTCGGTGAAGAGCAGGAACTTGCGGCTGAGCTCCTCCTGCTCGTGTTTGATGTACTTCTGGATCTCGCGCACCATGATGCCTGCGGCCTTATCTGCACACCAGGGCCCTAAAACCATGAGCACGGCCAGGAAGTCACCCAGGACCTGATATGGACAGAGACATTTATATGAACTGATGAACTGCTTATTGACTGGAGGAAACAGGATCTAAATTGAGCACCTGGGTAACAGTCCCTATCTGCCCTCTAAAGGGTTATTGCTGCATGGCAGTAGCTTGCCCAGACACAGTTATGACAAAACAACATCTCTTCAGTAGAGGGAGGAAAGGGTTATTTATTCTATAGAATAAACAGCAGCTTGTTTTTGATACCAGTAGGATGGTATGTTACCTCAATAGTAAAAAAAAAACACACATTGATATAAACATAAGAGGCTTAAAGGTGACTGACCGGTGACACACACTTCAAGTTAGCTATTTTATCTACCTCTGGAACTAGCTAAACTAGTTATAAATATATTTATTCTTCACTGTCGGGTCACTCATTACTGGATCACTGAGCTGCATGAGACGATACTGACAGGCTGTCAGGAGAGAGGGAGAGAGAGAGAGAGGGAGAGAGAGAGGGAGAGAGAGCGCTCATTTCTCCAGTGTTATTCAATCCAATCCACTTCATTTCTATAGCACATATTAAAAACAGAGGGTTTACCAAAGTGCTTCACAGCAAACTACAATAATAGATAAAAGGCACACATAAGAAAAGATAAAAGGCACACATAAGAATTAATACAAGGTACATAAAGGCTGTGGACAGACAATAAAAGCATACAAATCGATAAAACATAGCTCAAACTGAGGGAAAAGAGGTGGGTCTTTAGGCGGGACTTAAAAGTTTGGAGGGTGGGCGACAATTTGACATGGGGGGGGCAGGTCGTTCCAGAGCCTGGGGGCTACCGCTGAGAAGGCTCGGTCTCCCCTGGTCTTTTTCTTGGTTTTAGGGACTACCAGCAGCAGCTGATCAGTGATGTGCTCATGCTTGCGTGTTCCTGTAAGCAGCCGAGCCGCAGCGTTTTGTACCAGCTGCAGGCGTGCCAGCGAGGTCTTGTTTACACGAATTACACGCTCAAAGTCTAAAAAGGATAAAACCGGTTTAATTTTGGACAGGAGCCTCAAGTGATAAAAACTGGACTCAACCACAGAGTTTATCTGTTTATCTCATTTAAAAGCACTGTTGAGTTTAACGCCCAGATTAGTGACCATGGGTTTTGCATACGGTTGTAGGGAACCCAGGTCAATGGAAGGGACATCCCCATGTGGTCCAAACACAATGACCTCCGTTTTGCTCTCATTTATATTTAAAAAGTTTAGCGCCATCCAGGCCTTTATGTCATTAAGACAGTGAACCAGGGGCATCAGAGAGCTGGTGTTTTGTTTTAGGGGTAGGTATATTTGGGAGTCGTCCTCATAAAGGTGGTAGGAGACGCCATGTTTTCTAAAAATTAGTCCAAGGGGGAGAAGGTATAAGGAAAAGAAAATGGGCCCCAAAATAGAACCTTGGGGAATCCATAGGATAGGGGGGCAGAAGAAGATGCAAATTCACCAAGCCTAACAGAGAAGGATCTCTGGGACAAATAGGACCTGAACCACTCTAAGGCAGTGCCCCTGATACCCACACAGTGCTCTAGACCAGAGATAAGAATGGAGTGGTCAATCGTATCAAAGGCAGCTGTGAGGTCTAAGAGCATAAGGACGGCAGAGTCACCAGAGTCTGTAGTGACCAGGAGGTCATTGAATACTCTTAGAAGGGCAGACTCAGTACTGTGAAGCGCTTTAAAACCGGACTGAAAAATATCAAAAATATTGTGTGCATGTATAAAAGACTGCAGCTGTAAGAGTATTGTTTTCTCCAAGATTTTTTTAATAAAAAGGAAGCTTAGAGAAAGGTCTGTAATTTGAGAAGACAGAAGTGTCCAGATTCGTTTTTTTTCATCAGGGGTGCCACAACCGCTTGTTTGAAATAAACTGGCACAGAACCGGACTCTTGGCTGCTATTTATAATTGTATGGACTTTAGATCCAATAGTGTCCCATATCTCTTTAAAAAGTCGAGGAGGGACTGGGTCTGTGGGACAAGATGAGGGTTTTCATTTAGCAACAATGTCACTGAGAAATGACAACGACACAGCAGTGCATGTGATGTCAATGGAGGGGTCAAAAGAGGGTGGTGAGATACAGGCTCTAATAGTGGAGATCTTGTCTATAAAATAGCAGAGAAATGTTTCACACACCTCAGTTGAAGCTTCAATACAAGTGGATAAAGGAGAGTTTAACATAGCATCAATGGTTTTAAAAAGAACACAAGGTTTGTTTAAATTACTAGAAATAATATCAGAAAAGTAACTCATCTTTTCAGCCTTTACAATGCTCTGATACTTTCTCCAACTCTCTTTTTAAATGTCATGAGTTATTATCCAAAGTTAATGTAAACTTGAATAATGTACTTCATTTGAATGTAATAATGATGTTGGTTGTTGTTTGTGGAAGCGCATCATGTATTGAAAAATTCATCTGAACTTTTCCATCCGTTACGGTTATAAACTGAAGCAATATAAAAATGAGCCCCATTAACTGAGTTTTAAACATCACTTTAAATGGAAGATCCCCATAGCAATTGTTAGTCTTGCTAGCTCTGACCTGTTTGGAGATGAAGGTGGGGTCCCGGTCCTCTTTGGTGACACAGAGGTTGCAGTCGTTCAGGAAGTGGAGCGCTTCCTCCAGCTCCTCCTGCAGACACTGAGAGAGACCACTCTTATCCAGGTAGGGGCCGCAGTCCAGCACCACTTCTCTGGGCTGAGAGGAATATCTGAATACAACACAGAGTAGGTTACTGGCAGGCCAATCTGGGTCATTCATTTTCATTCATTGGGAGATTTGACAACACTATGTTTCACTTTTCTGTTTGAATGAAGTGTTACCAAGGACATTTCTTGTTGCTATGTATAGTGGTAACTGACACACATTAACCATACATATACTTAGGGATGGGTATCGTTAAGGTTTTAACGGTACTACTACTTTTATCGATACCGCTTATCGGTCCGGTCTTTTAACGGTACTCTTATCGGTTCTTTTGGAGAAAAAAATGAGGTAAACTAACTATATGTTGTATGTCAGGGACTACGGATGGAAATTAGCTCAAAGCTAAAATCTGGCATATTTACACTTGAAGCATTATTTGTCTAAAGTGTTCATTAATGTGCATTGTCCCTATTCAAATAAACGATTAAATGACAATTAACAAATTGTGAACAAAACTAACATTGCTTTTTATTTAAATGAAATACATAATATTTCACATCAACAGAAACAACAACGTTTTAACAAATCATATTAAATAATCTGATGACAGAACTGGGAACAGAATGGCTGAAACTTTAACAAACTAAATAACTCAGTTACCTCTAATCATTAACCCATGTTTGTATCATTGAGTTAGCTCCGTGTGTTGCTGCTAGCATACATAATATACCTGACGTGGAAACGTTACTCGTGGATGGGGCTACAGAGCTACTAGAGAGACAGTCGAACCCGGTGCATTCCTCCGTCTGAATGTGGAGCACTTTTGCAAGATGTTTAGACAAATTGCTCGTGTTACCGCCCTGACATGCTAAACTCTTATTGCACTTTAGGCAACGAGCGAGACGGGTAAAGTTTAACCACACCTCGGAGCTCGTTCTCTCCGCCATCTCCTCCGTGTGTGTGTGTTGCTGCATGTAGCAGCTGCGTGTGTGTAAACTGCCCCGCCCCCTCGCACACAGGCGGGGGAGAGAGATCTCTCGTCTGGATTGGAGAGATCGAAAATACTAAAAATGACGCATTTTGCAGTCTTTTTGCGTATTAGAAACGGAGTTGGCGACACTAAAACTGCAATATAATGTTTGTGTAGCAATAATACACATGATATATTTTTTAAATGTCTCCAGTACCGATAAAAAGACCGATAACGTCGGAGCTTAACGGTACCACGGTCTTTAATAATTCAGCCCCGGGGCCCGTTTAATACCGGGGCTCGGTACCCATCCCTACATATACTGTAGCTGTTCACTCCTGGGTTTTTTTTCAATGGTTTAGAGAAAAATGAAAACAAGCGTAAAAGTATATATCTTCCTTTGCAGATAATTACATTTTATATTCATTGTTTACTATTATTTTTGGGGTATTTAACATGTCTGTAAGTGCAGAATGTTTACTTAATTTAAATGGCTAAACTGTGTGAATGTGTGTTTGACTGTATGTGTGTGGACTAGGGATGGGAATTTGAAAGCAAATGTATATTCAAATATTCGACCCCCAAATAAACGGTTAACCGACTAACCGAAATGTGCATATCCTATACAAAAAAAAAAGAAATGTGTGAAAAAAAAAAAAAAAATGTATTTTTTTATTTTCAAAAATAAATAAATACATGTTCAAATAAGTATAGAAACCAAGTCGAATTTCTCAAATGTATTGAACTGGTGATCACAGTTTGAACAGTTGACAGCTATAGGCCTACAGCTTTCATGCTTAAAACATAACTTGTTTTTTAAATGAAAGAGGGATCATACAGGAACAACATAACGGGTTAGGGTAACGTAACCCTATTACAACAGAGATCAACAACCTGTAACAGGGCCTATGCACAGAATGCAGCTATTCAATACTCATTCTTCTTGAAGAATATGAGCATGTCTACTCAGGGGAGAGGCGGGTGCGGGGGCGATTCACAATCAGGCCAGCTGTAGAGAAGACCCTCTCAGCTGGAATGTGGGCATAAGATGAGGTTTGAGTCTGTGTGATCTGCGTGTAGGGAGGGGCAGCAGCCATATCATTAGCTAGAACTAGCTAGATCTGATGGATTTGGACATAAAAGCGAGTGAAGTATAACCGGACGCGAGAGAGAGAGATCAGCACCTGCAGCTCTGCCCGCTGTGAGGGACCGGTGAGCGGAGCAAAACACACCTTTAGACCTAACACACTTAGCTATGGCACTGTCGTATACATTGAATTATTCCATTTGATAATATGTAATCAACTTAGGCACCCCTCCAAAAAAATAAATAATAATAATAACAATACAAATATTCATAACTCATATTGTCATACCTGAATAATTTCGAATATTCGATTAATCGTTCCCATCCCTAGTGAGGACCCCAGGATGAATAGCTAATGCTCATGCTAGTGCTAACGGGGATCCAAATAAAGTCATAAAGACATAGATCAGAAGTAAGGGCTTTGTACCTGTCCAGAACCACAAGGTCAGTGGCGGTCTCAGCATTGCTCTTCAGGACCCTCTCCAGACTCAGGATCTTCTGCTCCAGCTCTGACGGGTCACACTTCCCGTTCAGAATGGAGGCTGTGAGACCCAGGATACGAGGGCAGCATGAGGAGCCCTCAAACAGCTGCACAGAAACAGAACAGAGTCAAGTCATTCACATTTGTCTTGGACCACTTTCCGGCAAAATACAAAAAAACTCAAACAAAAACAATCTCACCTTCATTATCTCACAGTAAGGGTGCTCTGTGATGGCCAGGTGACAATCATCAAAAACCACCAAGTTGATTTTAGACAACGGCAAGATTTTATTCTTTAGAACGTGAAGGAATATGTGGCAGGTCATGACCAGCACCTGTAGAAGAGAGTATTGAGAAAGAGAGGAGACAATATTATTTTCAGCAATGACTATGGAATGATTGGTAATGAAGGTGCAAATAGAGTGGTGCGGGAATGAGTCCATAACTCAGAAATGAGTTAGCATTTTAGCACTGTTTTTTGTTAAATATCTGAAACTAGGTCTGTGGTTAGAAACAAGCTTAAGAGATGTTCATGTTTTGTTCTGTAACTAAAGATATGTCAGTAAATACACACCACTGGATAATGTCTGAAGTCTCTATGAGTCTTAAAAACAGCGCTCTTTAACAAGTGTCTAAATTACCAAATGTAGCTTTGACTGCTCCACTGTCATAAACGGCACCGAGGTAAAGCCTAGAAATCCTGTATTTAAAAAAACACTGTTGCACAAAAATGTTTCAAACGGTGAATCAAGCTAAAATAGTGTAGGATCCTCGGTGCAAGCCGAAGGGACTACTCAGTGGACATTTACATTTCCGCAGCATCTGCAATAAACATGAACAGCTAGAACATCTCCTCCTTGAGTCCAATATTGACTGTTTGGGAATATCGGAATCTTGGCTAAAACATTCGTCACCATCCACTCTTGTATCTCTGTCAGGATATAATGTGTTTAGGAAGGACAGACTGAAGGGAAAAGGAGGCGGTGTGTTGCTTTATGTGAGGAATACCTTTACTTGTAGGGAGATTGCTCCCAGCTAATATTGAGTTTGATTGTGTTGGTGTGGAAATCACACTATCTGAGGAAATGTCCCTCACCATGATTTGCCTGTATCGACAACCCACCGCTAAGGTGGATTTCTATGACCAGGTAAAACTCCTGCTGAATTCCTGTGACTCCAACAAAGAGCTAATCATTTTAGGAGACTTTAATATCAACTGGAATGACAAACAAAATAGAAAGAGCTTAAAACGGATCATGGATAAACACAACTTAATACAACTAATGGATCAACCGACTAGAATAACCAAAACCTCCAAGACTATGATAGATTTATTATTTACAAACAAAGCTGACAGAATAGTTAAAACCTACAACTTCCTGACTGGTCTTTCTGAGCATAATCTTGTTCTTTTTGCCAGGAAACTCACAAAAAAAGGTTCATGGCCACACCTAAAACCCCTGCCTTGGGTTCTCGCTTCATCCCCAAAAACCTGCAACAACGTTTTATGGAGGCAGTGAAAATGATTGATTGGGGGGACACTCTCTCCTCTGAAGACATTGGTGAAAACAGTAATCTGTTTATATCTCAAATTAATGACACAATGTCTTCCTTCTCAAGTTAGGGACAGGAAGGAACGTCATCTTCCCTGGCTGAATCTACAGTGCAGGAATTTCATTAAATCTAGAGACCAACTATTAAAGCAGAGCTTAAAATCCGGACTATCCACTGACAGACAGAAATCGCTCCACTCCACCCAATGCAGTTTGGTTTTCATGCTCACCACTCCACTGAGACAGCTCACTGTGTCTTTGTGGAAAAGGTTAAATGTATGTTGGACACGAGCCCATATGTAGGTGCTGTCTTCCTTGATCTCAGGAAGGCTTTTGACACAGTTAACCACCAAGTGCTCCTTACAAAGCTGACGTATTTCAATTTTTCTGCAGATTCAATACAGTGGGTTAAATCTTACTTATCAAACTGAAAACAGTGTGTTTTGGTCAACGGAGCCAAATCCCCCTACCTTGTGAACCCTGTTGGGGTTCCACAAGGTTCCATTCTTGGACCATTACTGTTTTCTCTGTACATTAATGACTTGCCTAATGTATGTCCTGAGTTGAATGTGCAAATGTATGCCGATGATGCGGCCATCTTTGTACACGGGAAAAATACTGAAATGATCACATCCTGTCTCTCAAATGCTTTGGACAAGGTTCAACACTGGCTGAACAACATTTGCTTACAGTTAAATGCAAAAAAAACAGTATGCATGATGTTCAGTAAACGACCAGTCAAAATCGAAGGATCCAATGTGTTTTTAAACGGAGCAGAAATAGAACTAGTCTCCCACTTCAAGTATCTTGGAGTCATATTGGACTCAAACTTGAATTTTAAGAAACATATTAAGAAAGTATCCAATACCATTAAATTCAACTTGCAAAATTTTAAACAAATTAGACCTTTCTTAACTGTCAATGCTGCAAAGTCATACCTCCACTGTATGATTCTATCCCACATTGAATACTGTTTGACAAACTGGTCATTTGCTTGTGCCACAAACCTGAAACCTATAGAACAGCTGTACAAGAGAGCTATCAAGGTGTTTGACAGAAAGCCTTATTCATACCACCACTGTACCATCCTTGAAAAACACAATGTATTGAGTTTTGACCATTTTAAGTCTTTTAAAAGTATGTGTTTTATTTATAAATGTTTACATGGACTGCCCCCCCCCCTCCCTTAGGGGAATTCATCCACAGAAAACACACTGGACGCTGCACTAGGTCAGAAACCAGAGGAGACTGTGAGGTCCACCGTAGACGGACCACCTTTGGTCAAAATGTCCTCTCCATTAAAGGCAGCTCATTCTGGAACAGCCTCCCTACTGAGATACAGGATTGTTTCACTCTCAATAGTTTTAAAGGTCAACTCAAGGAATGGTTGAGAAACAAACAGACATGCAATCACCGCTAACTGCACTTTAACACAGGGGTCTCTCCTCTTGCACTTTAGGTAGCTCTTTTTTTGCACTTGATGTAGCTCTTGTATCTCCTCCTGCACTTTATATGTCGTTGCTGCTACAACTGCCTTGTGGCGTGCATGCTGCTCATGCTCTTTCTGCATATGTATTTCTGTTTGCCATGTATATAAATGTTATGTTCATAAATGTTGTATGTGACGGGACTACGGATGGAAACTAGCTCAAAGCTAAAAATCCGGCTCATTTACATTTAAAAGCATTACTTTGTTTAAAATGTTCATTAATGTGCACTGTCCCGGTTCAAATAAACGATTAAATAAAAAATATGTCATGACATGCATCATAAGCCACCTTCATCTTAGAACTTTCTTAGCCATGCGTTAGCATTTTAGCATTAACCCTTTTTACTTATTGTATTAACGCTTTAAAAGGAATCAGAAATTGGAGTTAAAATGTGGAGATTATCCTGCTGAACAAAACGTGTAGGTATCATAAACCTTTGTTTGCCACAGAGCTTCATTTCTGCAATACTCCAAAATCCTATGGAAAAATAATATTGCTTTTTGTTCAGGGAGCCCTTGGGATGCTAACTTCCGGGTCAGCCTACAAAAATACATCATCACTGCAGCACTCTCTAAATAGCCCAATTATGGTCAAAAGTTAGAGTTATTCATCCGAGTTAAACCCACAATGTCATTTGATGCATTGTACTTTAACAAGTCTTTGTCAAAGAACAACATGTTATGTTATGTTATGTTATGTTATTATGTTGCATTGTTGGAGAAGCCTGTGACATAAGATTTTCAACTGCATAATTACTCTGTAGCTATGTCAGATTGACAATAAAGAACCTTGAACCTTGAACCTTGAACACATGTACAACTACGTAATGGTCAATTCTTACACCTGACAACTCTGCAAAACGCTCACAACATCCATAAGCATGGAACTAGCATGAAGCTAGTGTTCATTTACTGAGACAAATAAGGCAAAGAGAAGCAGCACACCTGATTCTGGATTAACTCTTGACTCCATCGCTGGTCAGTCCATGCTGAGGTCTCCTCCACGTCTGTGTACTCTCCCACCGTGAGGTCAGAGTGAGTCCTGACTGCAGCTGCCTGCTGAACTACAGTCAGAGCTGTAGGCCAGAGAGAAACAGGTCAAATCAAATATATGCATCAGAATTGATATGAAAAATAACTTTGGTCAAATTTGGGAATGACTAGTGCCGTTTACAAAAGGTATTTGACAAAAAGAGACGCACTAAGGCAAACAAACATCTGTTGCACGTCAGCAGGTACCTGTGTTCACCAAAAAAACAGTCCTCTTCGCATTTTCTTGGTAATGTCCACGGATTTGGTGGGAGAGCTCTTTTGTTAGAAGTACTGCAATAAAGGTCTTCCCTGAGCCAGTATTCAAGCAGACGATAGTATTATGTTCAATAGCTGCTTCAAGAAGTTCTACCTGTGGAGGAAAGGTCAAGGGTTACTGACAGGTAGATCATAAACACATTTCTAACCAATGAAAACAAATCAACAGGAATCTGTCCTGAAGCTCGAAAATGAGTTGGCATTAACTAGCACCTTTCTATATAGCTATTATCAATCATAAGCTGATGCTTCTACTTCAAAAATGGTTCAGTACTGTAGTCTTTTTGCTCCCTTATACCGTCACAGACGCAACACTCTATTGCCTCTTGCCTTTTTTGTTGACTTATCCTCAACAGACTTATCCAACACATAGCAGCTGGTACACACAAGCCTCCTTACCTGATATTTCCTCGGTGTATAGATGTTATCATGGATAGCCTCCTGCTGCCAGGGCAGACCAAAGAAAGGCCCCATGGGTGAAGTGGCAGGGGTAACCAGCTGTAGGCCTGCCATGCTTCAAAGAGGTGGAGGTGGGGGGGGGGGCAGTGCTCCTCCAGTCGTACACTTTATCTCATTTCATAATCCTTTACAGAAGTTCACTGTGGGGGGAGATGATGGAACTGTGTTAGAGACTTTCTGCCACACATAACTGATTAGAGACAATGAGTTCTAGTGAACTAGTGTGTATGCAAACTACTTCGGCCAGAGAACGGCTTTGAACTCACTTTTTCAGGGCTTGAAAGCGTTATTTAGAAGGCAAGAACAGCTCATTAAGAGCTCTAAAGCAGCTTGTTTACAATGTGACAGCAGCAATGGAAGAGCTTCTTTCTAGATTAGAGTAGAGCTTGAGGACAGCTTCATTAGAAGTTGTTTGGGGAAAGGGCAGCTTGTTTACAGATCAAGTGCTTTTGGATGTTCCTTAGAGAATGTCAACAGGTGGTTTGGAGATGGTTTAGAACATGACAATGACTTGTTAAGAACTTCCTTAGATCAAGAAGAAAGAAACCTTCTTTTGAACATGAAAATGGCTTGTTTGGAGTTTGATAAAACACCTGTTCAGAACTTGATAACAGCCTCTTTGGAGCTCTTGTTTATTAAGTTTGAAATGTAGCAATGTGGTTTGCTTGGTCTGGAAATGTGATACAAGGTGTGCGGTTGAAAAGATTGGATTTTTCCATGAAATATGAAAGAATGGACCTTCTAATGGTACCTGCCATAAATCAAGTCTTTGAACCTGAGTCGCTCTAGACGTCTTTGTAGAACAAAAATGTGACCGCACTTGTTTTTCTTCAGTACCACAGATCAGGGCTCAAAACTCACAGAGTTTACCAATGGCTGACATTTTAAAACCAACATAACGCAATAAATGCACTATTATGGGACACGCCATATGATTTCTCTGCCACATTGTGAACAGCAAATCAGTGTAGAAATTGGCGAAAGAGAAGTGAGTTGAAGATAGCTGTTAGCGACAGCTGTGCTGGATAACTTGAATGGAGGTTCCATAGAGTTACACTGTGACACATTCAACTCTATTCACTGAAATTAGTATTGGGTGATAGAACTTTTTAATGTTATCATAATGTATTCATTATAAAATGATGTTTTGGCTCTTGTCTGCAACATGATATAGCTTAGATATTGAGAAGAAGATTTCTTTGAGCATGTGGTTTAGAAAATTGCTAGGCCTTTTAAGAGTTTGAAAACAGCTTGTTTACGGCGTGAGTTCTAAAGGGGGAACATTATTTGGTCAATAAGAGAAGGGATTTCTTAGGAAATATACTTACAGGTAATAAGTGTGACTTTTTGAATAAGCAGACAACACTTAATCTGGGCTTCATGATAAACGGCTCTCAATCAAGTACTGATGATGCCCCACATTTAGTAGGTAACAGACCTGAAAACCAAACAGAGAACATTGTTATACAGTTTGCAATGCAGATATGACATATATAAGTCTATATTACAGTGTAGTTAATGACTAGGTATGTAGAGGAAGGATACAAGTTAGTTTAGCTTCCACAGAGACTGCATCTGCTGATGCTAATGTAGTACTGTTAGACCAGGGGTCGGCAACCCGCGGCTCTCGAGCCGCATGCAGCTCGAGAGCCACATGCAGCTCTTTAAGCCCTCTGCTCTGGCTCCCTTGAGCTTAGACAAAAATAAGAAGGAAATAAAATACAAATATTTGTAGGACTATTTATATTTTGTTGCACGGTTGAAAATGTTCCGTATCTTGTATTTTGAGGTGATAATGTGACACATAAATAAAAAACAAAACGGTTTTAATTAGGTGAACTAAAAGATGCGTCACATCCTGCTACGGTCCCGCGCCACTGGCACCAGCGCCTTTTCTTACAGGCGAATAACCTGAGCCCCGGCTCGATGAGCGAACTATGGATACATCAAAGAAAAGAAAAGTATCTGAGGAACACAGAGGGTTTCATTCTGCGTGGTTAGAGTTATCTGCTTTCACAGCAAACGATGCTGGCTTACCGGTATGTTTGATATGTGGAGAGAAGTTATCAAAGGTGCTGCAGCCTTTACGCATTGGAGGAAAAACACGGAAGAGGAAGACACCTGACGATCTTCATCATAATTCAATCAGTTAACTCTTTTTAGGGTGCAGCTATGTTTTATTTATTTCAAAGTGGGTCAATTTTAATTATATTCATTTTCTTCAAATGTGCAGAGGACTACCCAAGTGCTGTGTTGATTTATTTTAAAGTAGGCCTGTGTATTTCTTTTAATTCTCCTTATAAGAGTTATTTGTTTATTATTAGAGGTAAACAGTTTTCTATAATGTAATAAATAATAAATGCAAAAAAACTGTAGTTTTTGTCTTTGATGTAACAATATATACAACTTTATAAGCAATCAAGTTATCAAATATGTTTTGCAGCTCCAGACAAAAAACATTGGTGGAAATGGGGGCAAAATTGCTCTTTTGGTCAAAAAGGTTGCAGACCCCTGGGTTAGACTAATATAATAATTTGACTCAAAAGTAAAACAGCTCACCTCTACACAAATGAGAAGTGTCAAGGACTGTGAATGGGTCCTCAGCTCTGCAAAGACAAAAGCAATGATAAATGGACTGCATTATTATAGTGTTTTTTCAGTCTTTACGACCACTCAAAGCACTTTTACATATACAAGTCAGCATTCACACACATTCATAGAGGCTGCCATACAAGGTGCTACCGCTCAAGGAGACTAACATTCACTCAAACACTGTTGGCCATCGGGAGCAATTTAAGGGTTAAGCATCTTCTCCATGGATACAACGACATGTTGACTGCAGGGGAATTTAACCACACTCTGATTGGAGGACGACTGTGTTACCTCCTGAGCCACAGCTGCCCATTAAACGCAGAGAGAAAGATGAAAATGGTACTGGGTACAGCTGGGTGCAATGAGCAGAGGAAGGATGATCCATCACTATAACAGTGTTTCTCTTCCTCTCCAAGTATATTTGGCAACACATTTCAGCATTTTATTTTATATAGGTCCTTGATAGATGAACTAGTGGCAGCATGAGGTCTTGCCTGGGCAGCTTTAGGTCTCACTGCCTCAGCTGTCCGGGGCCAGGCGTGCTGCCCTCCGCTCGTCTGGGTTTAGGGCAAAGGACTTGTACTATAACGACAGACGTGTGTGTGTGTTACAACTATTTCACCAATCCTTGGACTGTTCTTGCTTGGTGTATGTATTGCTGAGCCCCTTCAGAGGAAGTTATGTGGATCAGTGAAAAAAAGGGAGAAAACACTGTCTGTCCGGCTGGGCTGCTGTAAGCATCATATCTAATCTGTAAAAGTGTAAACAGAGGGGCAAAAAATCCACACAACAGAAAACTGCCTCTATGGGAAGTCTCTGTTTTCGTTCACAAAATAGCAAGCCTGTCAAAGTTTGTTTGTGTGTATTAAACCAGTTGACTGTATTTGGAAAACCAGTCTTTTTTTCATTTGCCATATGCCTGTAGAATGTTATTTACATACCACTAGTCAAAGAGAAAATCCCAATTATATGTAATTTAGCTGAAACATTTACAACTTACATACACCTTAAAACAGAGTATGAATATATGAAAGGATCAAAGGGATCAAACCACTGACCCTTTGATTTGTAGACAGTCATTTACACCCTGAGCCACAGCTGCTGATGGCAACAGGTTTGATCTGCCAGTAAAACACTCGTGACATACTGTTTATAAGAGGCCTTTATCTATTTTGAAACTTCAAATATCAATTACATTAGCGACATAACATAATCATCAGTGTCACATGTCAAAGAGTATCAGTGTAGGCCAGTTTGAAATGGTATATAAAAACAGAACATTAATTATGTGCAAAATAAGGGCCAAAAGATAATAACAACAATCAGAAATGACCAACCAGGATCAGCACATGCCATTTGAGCAACAGTCCAAAACATTTTGCCACTTTTTGATCTTTGCTTTCTCTCCAAAACACCTTCTCCTGACATGAAGACATGAATACTTCTGGTCCTTAAAAGTCTATCACTTGTATTCATAGAACACCATATCACACAGTAACATTGATCCTAATGTCAGTTGTAAATGACTGAATCATTAACACCTGTGATATTGACACACGTGCCACTGTCCCACAGTCTTGCTGCCAGAAAAAGAGATAAATATGCTAGGGGTATTTCAAGCAAGACAAACATGTAGAACACAATGTCATTTTTTACTGCATCATATCCAGCCATTAACTAAATAAACAAGGGCCTGTTTGACATTCATATATTTGATTCTCTGAAACTGTGTTAATTCAGCATTAGCAGTTTCCTCACTCAGTAACCATTACATTCAATGGTGGAAAGTTACTTTGGTGGAAAGTACTCAAGTATTGTAGTTAATCCGAATCAAGTGTATTTCCAGGTACGTTTACACATATCAGGATGTATAGAAATGTGCAAAAGGTATTCAGAGAGGTGAACATGAAACTGGCTCAAGTATTAAAAGAACAACAACATGTTTACATGAATGTCTGTGGGGTGGGCTGGTGTCAGGGGGGGTCCTGTGTTGTGTTAATATAATCAGTGTTGGAAGAAATACTTAGTAAGTAAAAGTATACATACTATTGTCTTACAATACTCTGCTGCAAGTAAAAGTTCTGATTTCAAATGTTAAAAGTACAAAAGTATTAGCACTAAAATGTACTGTAAATAAAAGTACTCATAATGCAAAATGGTCCATTTCAAAATAGTATAAAGTATATAAGTATCAGCTAATCGTACATCTCTAAGCACTGTAAGTATCAAAAGTAAAACTCCCAGTTATGCAGTAATATATTATTACAGTTATTATATTATCCTGTTTTTATACATGTCAGAGCATTTGAGTATTGTAGTTTGTATTGTCAAATGTATATACATGAAATACTGTGTAGATCAGTGTTTTAATATGATATGTACAAAGTAAGTTATATGTATAAAGAGTTTTAAAATACATTTAGTGGAGTACAAAAATACAATATTAGCCTCTGAAATGTAGTGAAGAAGAAGTATGAAGTAGCATTAAATTGAAATACTCAAGTATGTCAAAAAAGTACTTAAAGTAGAGACCACGCTGAGTAACATTGGCTAGCTAGTTAGCAACTAAGCAGCTCCATTTCTCATGAGTAGCTGATGTAATACACATGGCCGTAACCTTAAAAGCTATGTTATTAACTATTTAGAGATGCCTGCTTGAGATAACCTGAACTCCAAAGAGCAACACGACCCCTGGCCTCAATATGGTGTCAAAGTATTAACTGAAGACGCTAGCTCCCATTAACTAACAGCTGGGCGCTAACGTTAGCATAAATAATTAGCTTATTTACGTTGCGTTATCTTACCTGATACCGTGATGTATTGGTACAAATGAAGTAGCCAAAAAGTGTGCTATTAGCCCCTTACATAGCAACAGGGCTAAGACTCATAACTGCAATGGAAACAACGCTAAACAAGTTAGCCTAGCATGGCTAGCGAACGTTACATTAACGGTTAGTCCCTGTATTGAAGCAGCTAGTTTTTAGCCTGGCTATTTAATGGTCATTAACTTTATGCCTGCTCCCGTGAGCTTAACTGAAAACTGCTTTACCCGAAATGTACAGCGTGTAAGGCTAAACAACGTCTGGACAGCGGCTACAGCCACCATGCACCATCACCATCACCATGTCAGACAGCCGCCTGCTAACTAGCTAATGGCTAATAAGGCCAACACATACACAATAGCAATGTTATTCCAGGAAGACCAATAATATAATGTGCTACATAATCTCACCTGGTGTATTTTTTCTCAATTTTAGTCTTGGATAAAAATACTTCAAATCATTCGTTGGATTTCCTCACTGTCATTCACTCTTGCTGTCCCGATTTGGTGGCTTCTCGTTCACGCTGGGACCACTTCCTTCCACCAGGGCCTCTGCTACGTCTAAACATTAACGTCAATTCCGTAACTGCCAGTCAAATTCTGGGACGCAATTCTACTAAGGTGAACGAGAATCCCTGCACTTTATGATGTACTGAAGGTACACAGCCACTGGCCTTATATCAGGGGCAATGTATGTATCCTTAATTAAATTATATAATATTATAATATATTATATTATATTATATTGTAAAGATATTATTATTCTGCTGCAGTGTAGCATGTATATGCTTCAACCTGCCATAATCTGAGAAGCAGTAACTGTCCGCACGCACGCACGCACGCACGCACACACGCACGCACGCACGCACGCACACACACACACACACACACACACACACACACACACACACACACACACACACACACACACACACACACACGCCATTACTTTGTTAATTTCCAGAGGGTAAGGGGATGGTCAAATTACCTACTTTAATAATAAGATAACATTCTTAGGTAAACACAACCATCCATTGCTAAAACCATGAGCTTTATTCCACCAGTACTGAATTCATGTCTTGCAGCAGAACCTTTACACATGGTAGTACACATTATTTGCACAGACACACTTGTTCCTCATCCTTCTCACTGCAACCAATCAGCAGCACCTCTTCCACACAGCTGCTACAAAACAACAACATTGGTTTTGGATGATAACATGAACACAAAAATACACGACAAAGAGAACTTGTGACTAAATTAGCTTTCTGTCTTTTGGCCAAATTGATGTTCTGACAGCTCTTCCAGCAGGAAGAGTACACAACGACGTAGACATGGCCTGTAAAAAGTAAAGCAAACTAGAAGACAGGAGAAGTACTCAGATATCGTACTAAAGTAACATTAGAAGTACCAGAGTGTAGGAAGTCATGCATTCAAAATGTTACTCAAGAGTACAAAAGTATTAGCATCAAACTATAGTTAAAGTACCAAAAGTAAAAGTAGTGATTGTGCAGATTGGTCCATTTCAGAATAATATATATGATATGTTTTATAATGATTGATCATTAAAGTGTTATCAAAGCTGGTAAAGGTGCAGCTAGTTTGAATGACTTTGTATACTGCAGGGTAGCTTGTGGATTTACTCCAGGTGGAACTAAAGTCTGATTTAACACTTGATTAGATTTCACATCATTCATCCACATCTGTAAAGTAACTAAAGCTACAAAATAAATGTAGTAGCAAAACAAAAATTGAAATACTCAAGTACCTCAAAATTTGACTTAAAAGCTCCCATGTCATGCTTTTCCGGTTATTACCCGTCCCCTTGTGTGTTATGAAGGTTTTTATGCATGTAAACGGTGTGCAGAGTCAAAACCCTCAAAGTACACCCTGTAGCGAGTAAAACTCTTAACACAGAAAATACCTCCCCAAAACGCCTCGTTGGAGATACGTCACTGCCCATTTGATTCTTCCGGGTACCGCCTGATGCCATGCGGTACCCGGAACGAAATGGACCAATCCCGAAGAGCTATGGCCACACCAGCAGCGGCGTGTTCCTCCTCCAGAGGTTCGAAGAACCGGCATTTCACAGACGAAAGCTTCCAAAACATTGCCCAGTTTGAGGCCGGATATGCACAGCTTGTTTGGACCGTTTGGAGCAGGGGAAGATCTGGGTATACAACCTGTAAGTTTGCATTGTTATTTGTGTATTTATCAAACAAGACTGTTTAAATGTGTAAACTGTGTTGGACTGCTAAGCCATTGACACAGTGCTAACTGTGCTAACTAAGTTGCTAGAGTTTCCATATATCAACTCTAATATCAGCAGATGGCCTTGCATACATGTATCTCATAGCAGGAGAATGTCTGCATTCACACACACGGAATACTCATACAGTATACTGTACTGTGATTTACCGTACATTGTGACCGTACATATACTGCATGTAGCTAACGAGGCTAGCTGTATGCTAGCGCAAAACAATGTATTCATGCAAGTTACATTGTATGGTAGCAGAATACCCGTATACGATTGCAATTATAAACACGTTATTGCTAGCCTAATATGAACCACTAGCTTTTGTTCATAGTAGTTTTATTACACTGCATTATAGTTGCCTTTCCTCCAAGCTAACGTTCATATCGTGTTAGCTACCAAGGTAAACAAAGCTAGGTTAGCATATTAGCAGGCAAGCTATTCATTACACAACTACTACTAACGAATCTAAAACAACTAAGTTTCTCTAATATTTTGTGATTTGCATTTGATTTCGTCCAACCAGATCCTGGCGGACAATCCATGACGTGCTAAAAGGCACTTCTACTACTACTGAGGCGTCGTGCTAAAAGGCACCGCACCGACTGTGCGCAGGCAAGATGCGAGGAGGAGGAATGGATGATATACCGTGTATATATGTATATTTATGTTCATTTTGTACATTTCTAAAAATAAAGTTTAATGGAAATACTTAGTAGGCCTATCCTTTCTTCCCTGAATTCATATATAGCAAACCATGATTTGATTTCTCATCAAACAGTAGTAGTTTATAACGGGTAAAAATAACTTACTCTTTGTTATGAGAGTAGCTCGTAGGCCACAACGGAAAGACAAGGAGACATACACGAGTTTACAAAACCACGGCACATTTATTGTGGTAAATGCAGAGATAGGTGGTTGAGAGGATCGCAGAGTTAGTCTTCCTGCAGCCGCTTTGGAGAGAGACTGGGGCCGTAGTGTCCGGAGGTAGATAGATAGATAGATAGATCGTACTTTATTGATCCCAAATTGGGAAATTGTTTTTGTTACAGCAGCATAAAAGGCATTTTACAATAAAACAAAATATACAAGAATAGAAATAAAATAAAATAAAATATAAAATAAAATATAAAATATACATGTCAAAATACAAAATAGAAAATATACATACAGATATTATATATATATATATATATATATATTCAAAATATATGGAATTATGGAGTATTAAATATGAAACAGATTATGTGTGAGTAAAAATGTACAAGGTGGTTTTATTTCTAGAGAAACTATGGAGCAGAGAGGTGTCCGTGATCGTGCTGATTAGCCTCTTCAGCTCCACCCCATCGTAAGACAAAGGCCCTGGGGCCGTCACACTCTTCTATAACAACAGTTAAAAATATATATGTATATAAAATATACCGCTGTACCGACGCCATGATAAGACTGATGTTACGCTGAGAGCAGCCGGGAAAAGCACTGTTAGACATGGGCGCAGCCTCTCTGGTGGTTGACTAATCAGAACGAGTGGCCGAGCTGACCAATCGGAGCACACTAGGCTCACAGGGAGGGGGGGGCAAGAGCTCCAACGAGTCGTTTAGTGGAGAAAGTGAATACTGCTGAATACACATGCTTGACAGAGATGCTGTATGCGAAACCAATGTGAGTTTGGAAAATTGCACAGTATAAATCTATTTTAGTATACCTCAACAATGTAATTATGATCAGTGGAAATGGCCATGACATGGGCCCATACTTGAATAAATGTACTTATTTACTTCACACCACTGTGCTTAACATTATGATTATCAACAAAGTTACTTTAAACATAGCTTACATTGGCAAATAAACATATTTATTTATATTTTTCCAATCCAAAAGGGCTCAGGATTAGCAGCAGGAGCAGCTTTTCTGCAAGCTGCAGGCTATGAGGGTAAACTCGTCCACCATCTCCTGGATTACCAACTACCTCACGGACAGACCACAGTACGTCCGGCTGGGCAGTGTGCTGTCTGATGTGGTGGTTGGTAGTATTGGAGCCCCACAGGGGACTGTGCTGTCTCCTTTCCTGTTCACCTTATACACCTCTGACTTTCTATACAACTCAGAGTCATGCCACCTGCAGAAGTTTTCGGATGACTCTGCAGTGGTAGGGTGTATAAGGGATGGACGGGAGGAGGAGTACAGAGCGCTGGTGGAGGATTTTGTTGAGTGGACTGGAAGAAATCATCTGCTTCTGAATGTGGCCAAGACCAGAGAGATGGTCATTGATTTCAGGAGGAAGAGGACATCTCCTCCTCTGCCCCTGTGCATTCTGGGAGAGGATGTGGCAGTTGTGGAGGTCTACAAGTACCTGGGAGTGCACTTAGACAATGGGCTGAACTGGAGGATCAACACTGACGCTGTGTACAAGAAGGGGATGAGCAGACTCTATTTTCTGAGGAAGCTGAGATCCTTCAACGTATGCAGTAAGATGCTGGAGATCTTCTACCAGTCTGTTGTGGCTAGTGCACTCTTCTTTGCTGCGGTCTGCTGGGGGGGGCAGCATCAGAGCCGGTGACACCAGCAGGATCAATAAACTGATCAGGAAAGCTGGGTCAGTCATCGGCATCAAGCTGTACCCCTTTGAAGCTGTGGTGGAGAGGAGGACACTGAACAGGCTGTTGTCCATCATGGATAACCCCACCCATCCTCTCCACCTGCAGCTGGACAGTCAGCGGAGCTCCTTCTCCAACAGACTGCTGCAGCTCCCCTGTCACAAGGACCGAAACATTCCTGCCCACTGCAATAACTCTGTACAATAAATCACCTCTGGCTGGAAGAGAACTCTCTGCTCCATAGTTTCTCACTGTACATTTTATATTTAATATTCCATCTGGCTTATATCTTGTTATTGTTAATTTGTGAATTCAACATGTATATTTTCTACTTTCTTGTTTATTTCTTGTCTTTTAATTTGTTATTGTATAATGCCATGTCTTTTTATGCTGCTGCAACACAACAATTTCCCAAATTGGGATCAATAAAGTTCTATCTTATATTATCTCTTATCTTTCCCTGCCTCTGTGTTTCTTGATACGTTCCACCATTGGTTGAGCCTGTGTCACATGATGTCCTCTGGATGGCAGCATTACTACACCAACACAGAGATCAGGCCTCACAGTGCCTTCAACACTGAACGCTGTACTGCTTCTTTCCTACTAGGCCTGCAGAAAAAGGTATATCATATATATACATATATATATAACTTAACATCATCTGCAGGTTTCTGACAGCAAAACTCCAAACTTTCACATCTACAAGATAATAACTGAAACTGGATTTGAGGTCCGTTTTAACATTTTACAACTAATCACAATTAGAAATCTTTAGTTCTACACAGGGAAAATGAACATTGTGACAGCAAAAGGGGAGAGTTCGGAAAGAAGGCAAAATGAAATGAGTAGATTACCATATTAAATAAAGAGGCAACCACATCACTGAAAGAAAAATCAAGTATATAAAAGTGACAAAGAAAAGAAGATGTAGCAGCAATTAATAACAAAAGTAAATAGTAAAAAGTTTGCACATGAACAAAGGACTAGAAAGGAATCTAGCAGGAACCGTGAAGTCTAAAATGTGTCATTAAAACAACAAAATATATAAAATAAAAACATGGAAATGGATTATATTCCTCTCAACATTTTAAAGACAAATAGATAATAAAGTATGAAGAAAACACAAATGTGAAAACAAAACAAAATCTTGGCACTTAACCCTTCGATGCCCGAGTGACTGGACCCTACACTCTTCCATAAGTGGGTCAAAAAGGACCCGTATTAGAATAATGTGTTTTTATGCCATTTTTGTCATTTTGGTTAAGAAAAATCACTTGTATAATATTTAGTATTATATTTTGGTTCACACTAGAAATATTTTATATTTAATTTTTCACTATTTATAATTTTAGAAAAAAAAATTACATTTTGAAAAGAAAACGAAATTCCATAGAAAATGCATGCGGGTCATTTTTGACCCACTTATGGAAGCTTGGAGTAATACAAAAACTACAATTTCTTAACATTTAAATTAAAAATTTGAATGGCATGATATCCAAAACATGTTTTTTGAGGAATAGCTGGAATATGAAATGATACTTTTTTTTAATTACAAAGATACTCTAAGAAAACCACCTCACCGGGTCAAAAAAGACCCACTTATGCATCTAAGGTTAGATTTGACACAGTTCATTTCAGTTACTTTACACATCTGCCTGACTACATGTTACTTAATGTGATGTGTCCATATACTGTATAGCCTTGCTATGAAACTTAAAGCATGTTCTGATCATTGTGTTTAGTTTGTTGGCCGATGGGGGGAAGCACTCCAAAACACACACGCACATTTTTGTGTCGCAGGAGAAACAGAGCAACATTAGAATTCATTTGGAGTTCAGCAACTCCCTATAGCTCTGAGAAAAACACCTAACTCTTATTTCTTTTGATTCCATCAGATTTATGGTCATTGCACAGAGTACAAGTACTTGGAAAATACAGTTAGAATTGAACCTTGCAATCCAAGGTGCAGATACTGAAACAAAGCCCTGTCTTTTATTTAAGACTAAATAATGAACTGAAAGAGGCTAAAAGGGGTTCAAAAGCTCAGTTGAGCGGAGTGGAACAGCAGATTCAGATCATTATGATTTGTCACCTCGAGCCACCTCTTTTACACTTCACATTTGACCCATTGTTGAAGTAAAAATATAGAAAAATGCAGCTTTAAATGAAAAAAAGTGGTAAACAATTATATTTGTATAATTTAAGTATTCACAGATATCTAACATCTCTAAAATGGAACAAAACAAAACACACACAAGAGAAGATGAGAGTTTAAAAGATGTCCTTTATTGCACTCGACTGCAGATGAAACAGTACAATACAAAAGCTAATATGCTTTACTAGGTCAGTCCTTTCAGGGTTATGGTGGTGGGGGGGCTGCTATGGTCCTGTGGCCATAGTCACTGGAGACACAGTCACACACACAGTCACACAGTCACACAGTCACACAGTCTCACACACACACACACACACACACACACACACACACACACGCGCGCACACACACACACACACACACACACACACACACACACACACACACACACACACACACACACACACACACAGTCACACAGTCACACAGTCTACTGTACCCTTGTAAAGACCTTAAACTGTCCTACTATTTCCTCACGTCCCGTCCCAGACTCAGAGGGACACAGTATTTCAGGACATGTGCAGAGAGTCGTGATGCATTCATGGTCACTCAGTTTCAGACCAAGAGGGCACTTTTCTTGCATATTGGGACACATACTAAAAATCTAATCCTTATTATCCTTATTATATCTTAGTTATAAGGTGGTTCCACTTTGAAAACAAAGTTAGGCCCTTGCCCTTACCCAGATTTAATTATTTAATAACGTATACAAATGTTAGATTTTATTTAATGCTTACCTAATGTATGCTTATCAGGTTGTAAAGGACAGTGTGTCCCAATCTTTATTTTTCTGAGTGTTTCCTGGCATCACAAGATGATTATGTTTGTCATCATAACAAGGTTTGATAGAGAAACTTATTTTTATAATCTTTAATCTCCATGCTTCAATTTCAACATTAACCTGAAGGTTCTATCTGACTGACTGACATTAGCAACCCTAAGCAGCCCATGGTGGAATGTCTCCAGTAAAACTGAGCTGTGCCATTTACATACTAAAGTCATTCTGAGGTCTGAATGTAGTTCATTCAAATAGGCCGATAACAGACTGAACAGTCAGTGTTGGAATGTGGACTGAACCTGAATCTCTCTTCAACAATCATAATCAAAGTTTAGAAATATTTTATCAACAGTAATTTGACTTTAATTAGTTCAACTAACCAATACTATGCATTTCTAAGATACAAAACAGACGTTTGTGCTCTTGGGTTAATCTTTAAAAATGTTTTATGGCATTATAGTACATTGAACTGTATATGTACTTTGATTTTATCCTTTCTTTTCATTTTCTGGTATTTTCTTTTTCTTTTAGCTCTTGTACATGACTTTATTAGTACTGTAAATATTTTATTAGTTTTTAATTTTGCCTTTGAAACATTAAAGTTTGTGATCATTTCACCATAATATCTGAGGTCTTTGACCAAAAATGCTGTTACTGGATAACTCATGGGAGGCCTTAGTACTTTATTCAACTAACTGTGTTTCCTTGTTGATGGATTGTGTATACTAATATTGCATTATCGGTTTTCCAAAGATCTGTTGGTGCTCATATTGCCTCATTTCCTGACTTTTTGTATCGTAACTGGCAAAACAGAATTCTAGCACAATTAGCATATAGAGTGGTGCGGGAATAGATCCTTAAACCTGGAAATTAGTTAGCTTTTTAACACTTCCTGTTCCCTCTTCTCTAAATCAATGTTTTTTTTGTACATGTTAGGTTGTTAGCCTGAAACAAGGTCTATGGTTAACACAAGCTGTGGAGATGTTAACGCTTTGTTCTACGACATAAAATACACCAGTGAATACAACTGGTGAATGTCTCAAGCTTTTATGCGTCTTAAAAACAGTTGTTGCTAACAGTGGATAAATGAGACTACTAGACATCATCACAATGAATGTTAGCCACCTTTAGCTTAGCAGTGGTGATGTGAAGTCATGTGTAGTTTGTTTATAGCCTAGCCTCTGGCGTTTGCATTTACGCTTAAAAAACCATAAAGTAGTGTTAATATGTGAAGCTGAATCAAAAGTGTAAGTATCATAAACGTGTGTTTGCCACAGATCTTAAAGGTAGGGTAGGTAAGAATGGAGAAACCAGCTCGAGTGCGCTCGAATTTGAAAGTACACAACCGGAAAAAATCTGTTCCTTCCTTCAGACTTCCTTATAGAGCCCCTCCTCCAACACACCGCAACACACACGAACACGCACATGACCAATGAGGGCACGAGATAAGTTTGTGCACAGATGGAAGGCTGACAGGCAGGTAGGCCATCCAGTTATTTTAGCCGGGCCGGCTCAGATTGGTCGTGCTTTTTACAGTATTACAGCTTCCACAGATGACATTTTTTTATGTATTTATTGTCAAAGCATTTAATATATTCATTGCTATCGGGATGTTAAGAGCATTCCATGGAATATAACAAAAAGTGTTTCTGAAGTGAATTACCTACCCCACATTTAATTTCTGCAATATTTCAAAACCCAATGGAAAAATCCCATTGGCTTTTGTAGAGGGAGCCCTTGTGATGCTGGCTTCAGGGTCGGCCTACAGAAATACGTCATCCCTGCACCACTCTGTAATGGATGCAGGCAGTATGGAACTGGGACACAGATCTAGTTCTCACAAGGATAACCGTAAAATAAAAACACACAAATACAAGATTTGATAGTGTTGCACTGTGCTATAGGACGACCTAGTTTGTAGTGAGCAGGAATAGCCCTCAGTCAGTGGATGGGAGGAGGGGTGGGGGGGGTGTACTGTAATTCAGAGTAAACAGAGACTTCATCCACTTTGTCATAGTGCTTCATTACAGACAATATTCAAAAAATAACATGTAGAAAGATGTTTCATTGTAAAGCATTCTCTTTCTATTGACAGGCTGGGACAAGCATCGTTCTATCACATAAAACATTTATTTCTCATAAAATATTACAAATACATATTTCGCCTCAACTGTTATGCAATATAGAGCTGGGCAACGCTTTAGTACAAGAGTAAATGAAGACCCTCTGTGTGTTATAAACAAGACTTCCATTCCTATGGTGAGTTGTGTACTTTCTGTATGCGCACTATCTTTGGCAGTTTGTATTAAAAAGTGCAACAGATCATAATCCCCCTTCATTCATCTTTACATAAAACAGATACATAAGCTCAGAAAGCCCAGCTGTTTCATCTACATGCTTGATTTTATTTTCCGGCTTCAGCTTCACTATGTCCAGTTTTATTATCTGATAAAAGTAAAGTAACTTCCAACGTCTTCTTAAATGGCTATTAAGATATTTAGGCAACTGTGCGTCCATAAATCCATAGAATATATTTATGTACAAAAAGTGTGCTGTACAGTCATAATGTCTTTCAATGTCCGCAATAAACGTTCTATAGTGTCTTTAAAACAGAACGTCAGGGCCACGGCTAGAATAGTTATACATTTTGAGAAAAAACGGTTACATAAATTAAGCCATAATTCTATGAGTTAATTGTACATTTTTGGAGAACAAATGAAAAAACATCATAGGAAAAAACTTAAGAACAGATAAAGTTGTTATTTTGTAGAAATATTATGAAAATACAACTTCTTTATAGGAAGTTATGATGTATTCCTTATAATATGAAGACTTTCCCTTAGAGTTGAAGGTGAATTTCATAGCACTGACTTTGAAAATACTGACTTTTCTTTATCAAAATACAACCAATTTGTAATAATATCACTCTTTTTTTCTTAAAAGTACACCACTTATTTTATAATTGATTCTTAAAAGTCAAATATCTTTATTTCTTAGCAGTGGCCCCAACACATTGTCATACAGATTACATAAAGCCACATCGAAGCTCAAAAGCAAAAATCTAAAAAAGCTTTAGTAGTTTGAAATACATAAATGCCTTCACTTGATCTGGAGTACAGTCAGAGTAATGAACAGGAAAGTGGCAGTGGAACTGTGTGTGTGTGTGTGTGTGTGTGTGTGTGTGTGTGTGCGTGTGTGTGTGCGTGTGTGTGTGTGTGTGTGTGTGTGTGTGTGTTTTCAGTGGTCCAGGTTCAGTAGCAGGCTGGGCAGGGTCTTCAGGTCCATCTGAGGCAGCAGCAAGAAACAGTAGAGCAGCAGCCAGAGCAGCAGCAGCAGCACATACAGCTCAGAGTTCTCACCGCACCTACAAAACAAATTATTTACATTTGTTTTAACTATACACACACCCTGCAAAAGAGTTGGAAAAACCCTAATACATACAAATAAATAACCAGATTTTCATGACTACCAAAATAAATATCATTTTAAACATATTACCCATTTAAAAACATCCTCTTTTACACACTTTAAAAACAAAGAGTACACCTAATTTTTAAAATGTCAATAATAGAGAGTCCTTCTCCCCCAGTGAGCACAGAACCTGCCCAACAGCCCACACATCCAGAAACCCCTGCAGATGATTGATCAGCGTGTAGTACGCATGCTCCACCCTCAGACGCGCTGCCACCAGCCCCCTCAGACAGAGCACTACATCCGTCCATCCCACTCCAGCAACTTGGTTCTTCCTACTTTTCCAGATCGCTAATTTTGCATTAGCAAACCAGAAATATATCAGTAATAGAGTTTCCTTCTTTTTCAGGATGTATTTGGGGCCATGGACAAAAAGTGCTATGGAGAAAACCTCCCCCAACCCTTCCACCCACTCCTGTAACATTTTTTTTAGACCAGCCAATCTGGGACAGGACACCACTAAATGCTCCAGTGTTTCTGCCATAAAACAGAACGGACAGCCCCCCCTTGTGCCCGGGTCAAAATGAGCTCTGTATTTGTTAGTGGCTATTGCACCGTGTATAACTCTCCATTGGATGTCAGCCATCCGTTTCTCAACCGGAGATTTATACAGGATCCGCCAGCTGCCCTGAGGGGAAAAGCCCAAACCAAACACATCCATCCACTTCGACTCTCTGACGCCTGCGAGCGAGCTGAGGTTTAACACCTTTACGCAGCTAAGGTATAGCTTCTTTCCATTGCAGGAGCTGAACGTTCCAGGTGTTAGAGTCCCCAGTGATAGCAGGAGACCATCCTCCTCTCTCCATTCCCCCACCGCAGGACCCACACTCAAGGCAGGAAAGACATACTCATGTCCCTTTCCCCACTGGTCAGCCAGATCTGCATCCAGAGCAAAAGTCCGGTGGGATGGCGACAGCGACTGCCACACCTCATCTACCAAGTTCTCCAGAACTCGGGTTGATCGAATGCCCGTCACCTCAGCCAGTGTTTCTGTGGAGACCCCCGTCAAATGGCCAAGTTTTACCACTCCCGCTTCAATGAATGCATTTTTTAGGGTGGCTGAAGAGAAAAGGGTTCCAGAAAGAAAACCAGTGTCAAACAGTGGCTCCTCAAACCGCCACATCCCAGGCCGGGGGTCGGGTGGTCTGGTCAAACTCAGAATCTTACAGGCATTGATGACTGAGCAGTAAAAAGGTGTAAGTCCAGTTATCTTGTACGCAGGGGCCTTCAGCAGAAACAGGTGTTTATCCAAACCAAAGCCCCCTGCCCTCCAGAGCAACAGCCGGGCCATAGCCAGCCAGCAGGGAGAGGCACCATACAGCAGCCGCTGAGCTGCCTGCAGTCTAAACGCAGCAGTCCTTGCAGTAATGTCCACGAGGCCCTGCCCCCCCTCCGCCACAGGCAGGTACAGGACCGATGCTGGCACCCAGTGATGACCCGACCAGAAGAAATCCACGAGGAGCCGCTGCAGTTGTTTCATGAGGCCCGGCGGTGGGGTTAACACCTGGAGTCTGTGCCACAGAGACGAGGCAACCAGATTATTGGCTACAAGAACTCTTCCCCTGTAGGACAGCTGGGGTAGCAGCCATTTCCATTTAGCTAATTTAGCTTGCACCTTTCCCAGCAAACCCTCCCAGTTCTGTGCCACCATGTCCTCAGACCCCAACCAAACTCCCAGGACCTTTAAACCCTTGTTTCCCCAGCTGAGGTTACCAGGAAGACTGGGCCTATTTCCTACACTCCACTGACCTACCAAAACTGCCTCACTCTTCTCCCAGTTCACTTTGGCTGAAGCAGCCTTCCTATACAAAGCTAAACTGTCCTGTAGCTCCTGGATATCTTGCTGACCCTGGACAAAAACACTGACATCATCCGCATAAGCTGATACAACCACCGGGGGGGGCTGAGCTGACTCTGGCAGACACAGGCCCCTCAGCCGGTTTCTAAGTCTGCACAAAAGGGGCTCGATAGCAATACTGTATAATAGGCCTGAGATAGGACAGCCCTGCCTGATCCCCCTTTTAACTGGTACTGGTCTGCTCAGCCCTCCCCCACCTTCACAACACAACATGCATCACTGTACAAACACTTCACCCAGGACAAGAAATGCTCCCCAACACCAAAAGCCTGCAATGTGGCAGCCAGAAAAGTGTGATCCACACGATCAAACGCCTTCTCCTGGTCAATAGAAATAATGCCAACATTTATATTATACAGTTTGCAAACGTCCAAAGTGTCTCTCATTAAAAACAAATTGTCCACGATTGATCTGCCAGGGATGCAATACGTCTGATCACTACCAATAAGAAGTTCGATAAAACACCTCAGTCTGTTAGCTAAAACCTTTGACAGTATCTTATAGTCCGTACATAAGAGAGCCACAGGTCTCCAATTCTTCAGCAGGGTTAAATCTCCTTTCTTAGGCAACAGTGAAATCACTGCACGCCTACAGGAAGCTGGAAGAAGCCCTTTCCCAAAGGACTCCATCAATACGTCCAACAAGTCATGTCCTAGAATACTCCAGAAATGTTTAAAAAAGTCTGCAGGTAAACCGTCTATGCCCGGAGCCTTGCCGGAGGCCATCTGTGTCACCGCAGAGGTCAGTTCCTCCAGCGTAATGTCAGAGCCCAGGGTGTCACTTTCGGCTGGACTCAGTTGTGGAAGACCCTGAAGAAGTTCATTAGCAGCTTCTACGTCACAACCTTCGGCTTTGAACAGGTCCGTGTAGAAGGACACTGCATGCCTCCTCATCTCAGCAGGTTCAGAGGTTACCTGTCCATCGGGGAGACGCAGACATACCATCTGCTTCCTTTGGCCCACAGACCTCTCCAGGTTGAAGAAAAAGGTGGTTGGTGCATCAATGTCTCTCATGGAAGTAAAACGGGCCCTGATCAGAGCTCCCTTGGCTTTCTCCTGAAGAAAACAGTTAAGCTGTTGTTGTTTTAAGAGGGACTGTTCTATATTTCGAGCAGACACACTCTCTACCTCTCTGATCTCCCTCTCTAACTGCTCTATAGCTCTCCTAATGTTGGCAGTGGAGTAGGCTGTGTACTGTTGGCAGAACACTCTAATCTGAGCCTTTCCTACCTCCCACCACTGACTCAGGGAGGGAAAAGACTCTTTCTTTGATTTCCAGTTGATCCAAAACTATTTAAAATTCTCACAGAAAATCAGATCTTGTAAAATGTGAACATTAAACTGCCAGAACGATCGAGGTTTCTCTGTGTTGGATAAAACCAAATCTAAAGCAACTAGCTGATCATCTGTAAAACCAACAGGTTGGATGTGACAGTTCACTGCACGAGTAATAAAAGAAGCAGACATGTAAAATCTGTCTAGCCTGGCTGCACTGACGCCCCCATCTAGCATTCTCATCCAGGTGTATTGTTTAACAGAGGGATGCTTCATCCTCCACACATCCACTAAGTCAGCCTCTCTTATCACCTGTGACAGTAAAAGGGACGACTGAGGATGCGGCTCCCGTCCTATTCTGTCTAAAGTGACATTAGTGCAAACGTTCCAGTCCCCCCCCCCAGTATAACACACTCCCCCTGTACACTAGTGTCTAGCTTGTCTTTTAATAACTGAAACACAGATACACGTGCAGGGCCCTGATTGGGTGCATAAACATTAATAAAAGTGAAAAAGAACTCTAACAGTTCCACTTTCACCATCAAGGCTCTACCTGCCACTATCTCTGTGCTGGATAGAATCTTAACATTTAGAGAGGCTACTCCAGCACTAAGGTTTGAGCCATGACTGAGTACATACTGACCCCCCCACCACATCCCCCAGTCCGTCTCATTCAGGCTATCACTGTGCGTTTCCTGCAGAAATATCCCATCTCATTTTTTCTGATTAAAGACCTCTAACACTAAAGCTCTTTTCTGTGCACTTCTACCCCCGTTCATGTTTAAAGAAGCAACCCTTAAAGCCTGCATTAGAGGAAGGAGACAGAGAGAGAGAACAGACAGGTACACACAGCAGAGAGGAGACACCCAGTGTTGCATGATCATGTTGAAATGATTTAGACCATTTCAGTTTCTTCCCTCTTTTGCTTTCTTTCGTACCTTTTTTCATAGCAGTTACATGCTTCCTGAGACGATAGCGTTTCTTTTCATCCAGCAGGTCTAACCCTACAACTTTCTGAAGAGTGCTCACTGTATGAAGAAACTTGTTAGTGTCAGGGGAAAAGTCTCTCACTTCCACTGACTTGCCAAAAGACTCATCTAAAAAGACATTAATATCCTCCAAAGAATATATCTCTGCGTTCTGAGAGAGACTATCTGCAACTGAAGCACAGTCAGAATCCCCCTCACCGTCTGTGTCCATCTCTGTCACCTCATTACTGTCTGCAGCCTGTTGAAGCTCTTTTTGCCGCCCAGAGCCAGACGGCAGCTCCTGCTGTGTGCCAACAGCCTCCACCTGTCCCACAGCCCCGGTCCTCACCTGTCCTGCTACAGATGTAGCACTCCAGATAGGACTCCACCCAGCAGATTCCAACCAAAAACCCAGCGGATCCCAGTGGCTGGGGGATTAAAGCCCTCCCACTATTTCCTAAGAGGGTGTTGCCAAATTTCCCCATTTATTCAATTACAGGAGTTAACCATGAGATGGCGCTTCATTCACAAATACACAAAGACAACTGGGTGTTGTAGACCTTAGTCTGTTTGCAATGTTTGCAGCTCTGCAGTTGTGTTGCTGAATACTGTAGCATTTAATCACTTATTTGTTATGGTTTTCACAGGCTACTATGATGAAAAAACATCAATATTTTAGATCAAATAAAGCATATCTTATTATCTTAATTGTAATTCAATAATATATAGTCTTTATATATTAAATAATTATAATAATAATGTAAATGTTTACACTTCTTTATTTTTTATGCTCATACTTTTACCTTTACAATAGTTTGCTTTATGCAGTATATTTTTTGTAATATTGTTGTGGTACAGTTGTGGTACAGTACAGTAGATCGAAGTAAATCAACTTATACATTAAGATAATATAAGATAAGATGGACCTTTATTAATAAATGAATACAATTCAAATTAAATGATCATATCATATATTATATATAATGTATTGTATTATTAAGTAATATCATACATTAACCCCATTAATACACCGTTATTAGACACGTTTACGCACCGTATGCGTTTTCAAAAAAGTCTTCCGTTCACACCATAGACGTTCACACGCATTCGATTTATTTAACGTGTCTGTTCACACGAGACCGCTCGACCCGCTGGAAACGCTGTAGTACATATGCCAGGCCTGTAAGTGGCGCTGCTGCCGCCACAAAATACACCAAAAGCAGCGAAGAAGACCCCGGAGCAATGTTGCCATGGCTACCCTTCTGTTTATGCCCCGCGGTGGATTTAGCAACATGTAGTTCATGTAATTCTCCATGTCCACTTGTTGCTGATGGTTGTGGTAGAGGAGCTGTAGATTTTGCACTAACATCTGTAGCATGGTCAGTAGCAGTAGATGTTGTACTAACATCTGTAGCATGGTCAGTAGCAGTAGCACTAGCAGTAGCTACTGACAGTAGCTACTGGCCATGCTACAGCAGTGAGCAGCAGAGGTGGGGAGAGGCGGGGCTATGGCTTCATCTATCGGGAAATGATCGTATAGAGGCGATTACACGGAGCCGTTTCACCCCCCAGAGAGTTCCGTTTGCAGATCTATCCACCTTGGGACCCGTTATCGTTAGCGGGGTCCGTTTCTATCGTTTTGTTACGGCCTCGTGTAAATGAAAGGGCTATACGCAAGAGAAACTATGCGGATACAACCCGTTTGGTTCCTGTGTAAATGGGGTCTAAGTAGTAATAATAACTAAAGCATGGAGGACAAAGTTCTTACCACAAACTAGAGTCCCTGTTGTCCACTGCTCCGGGCGCTGCAGTCCTGGCTGTCTCTTTGTCCTGAGTGGGGAAAGATTAAAAGTCTCTTAGTACACAGAATCATAAAGAACAATAATACGTCCATATAGAAGGAAATGGAGGGAACCCACCTTGGCCTCAGTGAAGCGAGGCCCCTTTCTGTGACGGAGGACTGGAGGGATCTGGCTTTCATCCTGTCTGATGGAGCTCCTACTGTCACTCCTGAGAAGACAACATCCATTTAGGTTTCAACAAGAAAGAGGCCCAGGAAATACAATCAGAGCAGACATTATTAACAGATATGTGGAACTTTCCCAAATAAAAAAAACCAAGACTAAAAAAGCTACTTGTTCGTTGTCCAAAAACCTCAGCGACAAGCACACTTGAAGTTCATATGGCTAACATGTTAGCGAGCTATTGTCTGTTGACACACCAAACAGACATAGTGCAACATTAGCATTCATTTGGTGTGTGTGTCTGGCCCCTGATGAATACTAGTCCAATATTCAGTCACCTTTTAGCTCTGTTTTGGTCTCCACCACGTGCCGAGGGAAGTCTCTGTCTCTGTGTCTGTGTGATGTTTGCTGTATGCAGTGTTAAACTATGTTAAGCACACATGTTAGATTCCATTTAATAATCCTTTGATATTCCCAGACACCAGGGTTCTTTGACATTTCTTAATTTAACCAGATCTTCATACAAAGATCAAAGTAGCTCTTGAATTATAATTGTCACCAAGTTTAAAAGTCAAGATGTTTAATAATGTCTTATCTAATTTTACTTGGAATACTGACTGCCTGTTTTAAAAGTTATTACAAAAAATATGTGGCAGAAACCAAAGTAAGGAGAAGTTAAATGAATGAATGTGCATGTTCAGTATGCATATAATGTATGTGTATCTACACATGATGTGTGTTGGCATAGGCCTGTATGTGTAAATATTTTTCACATTGCTTGTTCAAAAAGTTTTAATTTAAGCACATTTGAGCATTGTTACTGAAGCTGAAATCTAAGAAAAACGTATGTTTTATTATCTCATGAATCATATGAATGGTTATAAAACAAAAACAAATACTTTAGATAAGCTAAAATGTTGTTTTCGTATAATTAAAATGCCTGCGTCATCATGCATACATGATTATTTTCGGTGAGGATGAAAACTGGTGTAAATATAAGCAATTGCAGAATACATTGAACAGCTTTTGCTAAAAATATATGCTGCTGACCATAAATATTTATTAAAGTCTTAAGAATTGTAACTTGAATTCCACTGCTGAAGATAACAGAGCTCTCTTCCATTAATTAATTCCACCAGTATAATGTCTGTAACCATGATCCACTTCTTTATGTCTCTCAACCCTCATAAGGCCCTCCATCATTCCCCTCACCAGCCCACATAGATCACTTCAGTACATTTAAGGAAATATCTGAGTAAAGTGAGAGAGAGCAGGTCAGAGCAGTGCCCCCCCCCCCCGGGAGTGTGTGTTTCTCAGTGTTTCTCAGTGTTCCAGGGAGCAGACTAAGAATAGAAGGCCTACCTCACAGGCTCTGTGATTTCCCTGGCCGAGCCCGAGCTCTGCTGCTCAGCCTCACTGAGATCTCTGCCGCCTGCTGGAACATCAGCACCCCTCCGTCCTCCCATCGGCTCCCCGGGCAACGAACAGGCTTCCTGGGATTCAGATTCTTTCTCAGCCTCCTGGTTGGTCTCCTAATACGAGAGAGATACGGAGAGAGGAATCTTTCAGCTTACAGAAGGGGAAGACCTTTCAACAATTAGTCCACAACAATGTATTTAAACCCATTTCAGTGCTGATGACTTCTTATGTGGATATTCATGCTCCCCAGATTATGATCCCTAATACTTTAGGGCAGCGGTTTTCAAAGTGTGAGGCGCGCCTCCCTGGGGGGGGGGGCGCCAGAGAGCTTCAGGGGAGGCGCAGTGTGAGAAAAAAAGAACGAGAAAAAGATAAGTAAAGTGTCTTTCACACTTTTGGCTGTCTGTGGAGACCGAGTCCCCCACCTCGCCAAAAAGGCTGTAAAAGTGCTCATTCCCTTCACCTCCACCTACCTGTGTGAGTGGGGGTTTTCCGCATTGACTTTGATCAAAAGCAAGTACCGGTCAAGGCTGCAGCCAGAGGATGATCTGCGTTTATTCCTGTCTACCCCGCCAGAGTCCTGCACGGGTCTGATTTTCAAGACCCGCTCCCGTCCCGTACCCGCGACGTGCAATACCGAACCCGCCCCGCCACCCGCACATATTGCCAATTAGTTCCGCAAACCGACCCGACCCATCGGCACAAGATCCGCAAACCGACCCGAACCCGCATATCCTATGAGCAGTGAAAACATGCAATTATTAACACACGCAGTTGCGTATTTGGCTCAAAAAGCGTGGGATGTTGGTTATTTTCTCCATCTACAGATGTAGCAGCTTATTTCAGACTCCAGCTTACAGCTTCCTGCCTGCTACCTGCCTGCTACCTGCCTAAGACCTGACAAAGACCAGTATCTGGGAATGTTAAGCCCTCCCACTATTTTCCAAGAGGGCGTTGCCAGATTTTCAATTTCAGGAGATGGCGCTTCATTCACAAATACAGAAAGACAACTTTTCATGGACTTTCAGTTTTGTTTAGAAGAGCATTTCAACACATCAATATTTTAGATCAAATAAAGTATATCTAATCTTGTAATTCAATAATATATAGTCTTTATATATTAAATAATCATAATAATAATGTAAATGTTTACATTACACTTCTTTATTTGTCATGCGGTCTACCTACGCTGTAAAATGTATTATTTCTTCGATTTACACACGGCATCTATTGCACTTCTGTCCATCCTGGGAGAGGGATCCCTCCTCTGTTGCTCTCCCCGAGGTTTCTCCCATTTTTCCCTTTGAAATGTGGGTTTTTCTCTGGAAGTTTTTCCTTGTACGATGTGAGGGTCTAAGGACAGAGGGTGTCGTTTTCTCATACTGATATTCTGAACAAACTGTGCTGTTGTATTTGCTGTAAAGTGTCTTTGATTTCAGGAGGAAGAGGACATCTCCTCCTCTGCCCCTGTGCATTCTGGGAGAGGATGTGGCTGTTGTGGAGGACTACAAGTACCTGGGAGTGCACTTAGACAATGGGCTGAACTGGAGGATCAACACTGACGCTGTGTACAAGAAGGGGATGAGCAGACTCTATTTTCTGAGGAAGCTGAGATCCTTCAACGTATGCAGTAAGATGCTGGAGATCTTCTACCAGTCTGTTGTGGCTAGTGCACTCTTCTTTGCTGCGGTCTGCTGGGGGGGCAGCATCAGAGCCGGTGACACCAGCAGGATCAATAAACTGATCAGGAAAGCTGGGTCTGTCATCGGCATCAAGCTGTACCCCTTTGAAGCTGTGGTGGAGAGGAGGACACTGAACAGGCTGTTGTCCATCATGGATAACCCCACCCATCCTCTCCACCTGCAGCTGGACAGTCAGCGGAGCTCCTTCTCCAACAGACTGCTGCAGCTCCCCTGTCACAAGGACAGATACTGGAAAACATTCCTGCCCACTGCAATAACTCTGTACAACAAATCACCTCTGGCTGGAAGAGAACTCTCTGCTCCATAGTTTCTCTTGGAATAAAACCACCTTGTACATTTTACTCACACATAATCTGTTTCATATTTAATACTCCATAATTCCATATATTTTGAATATATATATATTTGTATATATATATATATATATATATATATATATATATATAATATCTGTATGTATATTTTCTATTTTGTATTTTGACATGTATATTTTATATTTTATTTTATATTTTATTTTATTTTTATTCTTGTATATTTTGTTTTATTGTAAAATGCCTTTTATGCTGCTGTAACAAAAACAATTTCCCAATTTGGGATCAATAAAGTACGATCTATCTATCTATCTATCTACTGTAGGTTATTTTTATTATATGTACAGCACTTTGGCAACAGAAGATGTTTTTCTTTAAATTGAAATTAAATGCATCAATCTGGTGCACTTTGAGGGCAAAATTAAGAGATTTATGGATACAGCTCTCAACACTCATATGAAACAGAACTGTTATAATAATGATGAGAAACTATGAAATAAGAAATGAATCAAATTAAAATGTAATTATCATATCATATATTATATAGTGTATTGTATTATTAAGTAATATCATACATTAACCCCATTATAGCAGATGCCACATTGAATGGATGAACACATTTATGCAAAAAAATCCTGAGTGAGGCTTTCATAAATTGCATTTAGCTGACGCTTTTATCCAAAGCGACTTACTATTTAATAAATGATAAATGATTATTCATAACAAATATGACTGATGTGTGATTATTATTCATGCTATATACTGATATAGGGCTAAGTAAGCAATCAATCCTGCAAATTAACCCTTAGTTGTTCAATATATTTATTCAGACAATGTGAGTAGAAATACAGAAATTCTGCTCCCACCTAAGGCCAACGTTGCAATATTACAACATTTCCCTAAAAACATTTTTAAAACTCTTTCATTTCTGCTCCAGAGGCTATACAACAACATCTGAAAGGTCAAAAAAACAAACAGGGCTAGACAGCCATTTGTAACATATGGGAGAATGGTGAAAAGAACCAACTGGACTGGGACCAATGGGAAAATGCCTCTTCCCCTCAATGTGAAGCGATCTAACTAAGTTCTATTCATATTCTTGACGGGAAGAGCAGTGTAAATGGGTGGCCTATATGCATTTGAAAAGCAATATAAATCACACAGTTAGTATACAATAGGCTTTAAAAGCACCATCGATAACCATTGCCCTTCTCCAATTCAAACCAAAAGAGAAAATGCAGATATTACCCTCATAAAAGAAAGGGTAGACATATCAGTACTCTTATGGCGCGTTTCCACTACATCGCGGAGCACGGTTTAAGAGGGCTGTGACGTCAGCGGCCCGTCTTTGGTTGCGTTTCCACTTGGCCTAGTACCGGCCGGCGGGTCCTAATTCACAGTTTTTCTGGCCTCATAAAATCGTGGGTCCAGGGCCAGAGACAACGAGGCTGAGTCGGGCTGAGTATGCTAAACTAGAGAGAGCATCGCTGGCAAGGGGGCTACAACTACAACAAGATGGACATATTTGACCGTGATTTAATTGTAATACACGTTTTCAAAATGATGCCGAAGTAACAACATACTGATACCGGTTAGTAAAAACCATGAATTAATGCTTTGACAAGTCTGCAGACAGACGGCAGGGGAAAAACCTTTTAAAATGCGTGTTTTCTAAATGGAGATTGGCTAAGCTAACGCAGTATATGCTCCGACCGTCCACACTCACAACAACGGCCTATACAGACATAAATAAAGCAGCGACTGTATTCACCATGACACAGGCAGTCTGTGGTTTGTACTTGTTTAACTTTTGTCTAGTTTCTGAACATATATGAGGAGCTGTGAGCTCTGAGTGCTAACAGCTAACGGCTGTGTTGTTTTTCTGGGGTTCTCATTGAAGATGACGTCACGGCTCCGCCTACACTGCGTTACTATAGTTACTGCCCCAGTTCCTAAACTGTAATGGAAATGCGCCATAAAGTGAGCCAGTCCTAACGAGGCCTAGCCATACCGAGCGGGGCCGAGCGAGGCCGTGTGGTGGAAACGCGCCATTAGTGCCAAGTAGCTAAGCTGGGAAAACCTCAGTAAACATGCAAATGCTTGCCTTTTTTACAAGATTGTCAACGGCCTTACCTCACCTCCTCTTAGACAGTTTATTAACATACGCACAACTGCAACTCGGGTAACAAGAGGTGCAGAGAGAGGAGATTGCATTATTCCACTCAGAAAAAGTTCTTTCAGTCAGTCTTCATTTTCTGTTAAAGCTGCTCAGCAATGGAACTCAATCCCATCTCCAATCAGAGACCAGTCCACATTCACTTTATTTAAATCAAAACTCAAAATATGGTTAGTGAGGAATCAGCTCTGCCAACACTGACCCAATCTTCTGCTCCTTACAACCCACTGCCTGTGTTTTAACATGTTTTAACATGTTCTTTTGTTTTGTTTTATTTGTTTTGTTTTAATGTTCTGTATTTTAAATTGTTTTATTTAAGTATCCCAGTAATGTATGTTGCATGTTTTAAATGTATTGTATTTACTTGTTTAAAATGAAATGTGTTTTAGATTGACTTTTAAAATCTGTCCAGGGACTACAGATGAAAAATAGCCTCTTGGCTAACTCTGGCACATTTACAGAAATGTTCATTAATGTGCACTGTCCCTGTTAAATAAATGAATAAATAAATAAAAACACCATTGCCACCGAAAAGTTTAACCACAAGAATCAAGACTATATGAGCTACCACTAAACAACTCACAGTCTGAAAATTACCATTAATAAAAACCCTGAACGTTTACTTTTCATTTTAAACATCGTTTTAAGGTGTAAACGTGTCATTTAGGAACTGCGACAGCATAAATATGTGAACACAAACCTACAGACTGCTGGAGAAGAGATATCACAGGGGGGGGTTGGGACACACACATTCCGATGGCCAATTAGTTTTAAACAAAGAGTATACTCAACATAGGCCTACGGTATCGGGGGGTGGGGGCTGGTGAACGGTATGGTCAATGTTTGTAAACACTGTGACATTTTGACTTTATTTGATCATTTCAGTTAAAAACTAACGTTCATATTTATCTTTTTGAGAAGAG